CCCCCCGCGCCCTAAACGGTTTTTTTTTTCCGGGGGCCCCCCCCCCCCCCCCCCCGACGGGTCTGCAGGTGAGCTCAAAGGAGATCCGCGGGCGCACGATCGCGGAGCTCGGAACCAACCCCCGCTACAGGTGTGTTTGTGCTGCTGTCCATTTGCAATACCTCTTTTTTGTGGGGGGGGGTACACCAGTGAAAATTAGAACTGTTGCTCTTGGCAAATTGTTCTGTTTTCGATTTTTTTTTTTTTAGGTGAATTGTGGTTGTGGCTATACCTGGCCGTCTTGGTGTTTGACGCCGTAAGCACTCCCGCCGACCGCACCTCCGAACTACCCACCCAGAAGTGGGGAGGGAAGTGAGGAGGGGCACCAGTACACCGCGATCGCTCGTCTCGTTTCCGGACGATTTGTTGTTCCGCAAGGTTGTTTTCGGCGAGAAGCCACTATTCCCCGACGTCCAGAGGAACGCGCTTCAATCTCCAACCGATGAAGGCGGCGGGCTATTGCTATGTTGTGCCTAAGCTACTGTGTGTCGCGTGTGTTTATTTCGTGACAAGCCTTCACACTTCACAGTGCACGATGACAACAGCAGCAACAACAGCACATCAGCCCCCCTCCCTACTCTCCCCACATCAGGCCAGTTGTTGTGGAGAAATTTTCCGATTTGGAATCCCGATATTACGCCTTTTTCATCCAAACCCCCATGAGGCCGCAGGAGTTCTGCGTACTTCGTTGGAAAAGCTCACAAAAGCGCTTTGGCAGTCAGTACTCGCCTCACAGAGACCCGTTTGCATTCAAACCTTCGAGGCCGCGTAGAGCATTGCTGTGAACCTCTTCGAGCCAAGTTTGGGGAGCTGCGGTGCAGTGTGTGTTCACCATGCTTGGTAAAATAGGAATTCCAGTTTGGAATTGCTGGACGATCAGGGTGGGAATTCCTCATGAATTCCCAACTGGAATTGGTTGGAATTCCAAATTGGGAATCGTGAATTTGCTTTCATATCATTGCATACTCTACGCACACTGCACTCTAGCTGCCCAAACTTTGCTCCGAGAAGCTCACAGTAGTGGAGTGCACAGCCTTATCGGTTAGATGGCAAGCAGGGGTCTGTGAGGCGAGGACGAACTTACAAAAGCGCTTTTGTGTTCTCTGCTTGCTGCCCAGTACGCAAACCTCCTACTTTTAGGGGGTGGTGGAGCATTATCTGCCGATCCCCCGGATTCCAAATCGGAACATTTCTCCATAACAACTGGCCTCAGACGAACAATAACAACAATAATAACAACAACAACAACAACAGAAAACACTGTTCTCGCCCTTCCCTATCCCCACTTGCATCAGGTACGAGCCATCCTGGCAGGCCTTGGCGGAAAAGCAGCAGCAACGGAAGGAGGAGAGCGAAGAGGCCGCTGCCGCCGCCGCCGCTGCGAGCGCCAACGGTTTGGGCGCCGCCGCTGCCAAAGGAACTATTGGGGCCCCGAACGGCGTGGGAGGGGGAGCAGTGGGTTTTGCCTGCGCGGGGAATGGTGCGGTGGGTGGGGATGCTGCTGGTTCTGCTACTGGACAGAACCGATCCAACACGAAACAGAGGAGGCGCAGGGCGGACAAGGTGTGTGTTTCTATCATTTACTGTTGTGTGTTGTCTCTCTTGTGTGTCCTTCGTTTGTCGGCGGCGACCGGGCTGAAAATGGGAATCCCTGGTGAGAAGAAAGGGCAGCGGTTCGAGTCAGTGGGAAAAAAAATCTTCTTTTTTCTGGTTCGTGAGGTTCCCTGGCAGGCGTGTGTACAGTGCCCCCCCCGATGAAGTTCTTTCTACCTAGGCAAGTTTTGCCACGCACCCGTTGGACTGTCCAAGCGTGCAGTACTGCTCAGACCGTGTAATTTAGCAGGCCAACCGTGCCGATCCCAACTGCCTGTACCATGCCACCACTCGTATTTGGTTCTAAATCATCCAACCACCCATGGCCTTTCTGTTGGCCACGACTTTACCTCCTCGTCCTCCCCCTCGTCCTCCTCCTCGTCCTCCCCCTCCCCCTCCTCCTCCCCCTCCTCCTCCTCCTCCTCCTCCTCCTCCTCCTCCTCCTCCTCCTCGGCGAAGGTGAACAAGGCGAAGGAAGAGGAGAGGGAGATCCGCGAGTGGACGGAGAAGCTGCCCGGGGCGGACCTGTCGGTGTACGCTCCCCTCCGAGGAGACTTCGATCACGAGCACGACGACACGGCCGAAGAGGTAAGAGCTATGTACTACATCATACTTCTTGTTGCCGTTGCTGTTGTTGTTACTGCTTTTGTTTTTGTTGTTGCTGTTGCCGCTGCTGTTGCTGTTGCTGTTGCAGTGTTATTGTTGTAGCCCAGACAGCGCATTTTTTTTAGTTTGGGCCGTCCTTCAGCGGCTGCATTCAGTGATCAAGCGCAAGACGGGAGATAGGTATTTTGTTGGTTGCTCGGCGATGATTAGAACCACAGTTGAGTCCTCACGTAGTGCTCTGAATTTTGTTATTTTTGAAAGTATCCCGAACTCTTTGTCTGTGGATAATTGGAGATGAATCTGTCTTGATGCTGTATCGCAAGTGAATCGTCTTGAGTTGAGAGTTGAGCGAAACGCTCCGATATTCTGTGAGGCGCCCAGAACTGAAGGTTCAGGTTGAGCTATTATAATAACAATTACCTCTATGAACGCATACCACAACGCGCGATCCGCCTTCGCACATGCGCACGCGTAGCATAGCCTCCCCCTTGACACCCCCCCGCGGGGTCCCAGATCATGGCCTATAGAGCCATTCCGTGTTTTTAACCGCACTGAGACTGGCGTCTTTTTTATTTGTCAGCCGGTTAGCGCGGTCAACGCTAATATTGAGAAACATGCACACTTCGCAGCTGCTGGCCAACATGGAGTTCCGTCCGACGGACCACGCTAGCGAGAAGCAGCTCAAGCTGGACGTGATCGCGGTGTACAACCACCGCCTCGACGAGAGGGAGAAGCGAAAGAAGTTCGTCATCGAGAACAACCTCCTCGACTACAAGAAGCCCCCCCCGGGGAGCAAGAAACGCGGCAGGGTGAGATGGATATGCGACGGCTGTGTGTGCCTGGTGTTACTCTTAGTTTATTTCTTTGTACATGTCTCTCTCCTATGGCAGCTCTCGCCGTCTCTCCCTCTCCCTCCTGCTTTGCCACTTTATTTCGATGCTCGTGGCTTCGGTCATCGTCATGCTCTTCCTGTGTTTGTTCAGTGCATTGCCGGTCTTCAGGGTGTTGATGGAAACAATGTTTTTGGTACAGTGTCCCCGACCTGTGTGTTTGGATTCGTGTCAGCGTGTGCCAGTCGGTGTATTTCTTCCTGTTAGAGGTATCTCCTAGCATGCAGCGCGTTTTAACCGCCGGACTGAAGAAAAGTACGTCACTCCTTCCCCCCAAAGTTCATGCACGTGCTGTGCGTTGCTACATGTATCATACCATGGTTTTTGCTGACGTGTTCTGGTGGGAACCGACTATCTTCGTCGTGAACAGGAAGATCGCGAGCTGGTGGCGCGACTCCGGCCGTTCGCACGCTTCAGCAATGCCAAGGAGCACGACGAGCTGATCGACAACCTTATCGCGGCCAAGAAGATTCGGTAGGTGTACGGTTAAGGCGGAGAGGGTGCTGTCCGTCCTTTCGCTTTCGTTTGGTGGGAGGAGGAGGAGGGGGAGGGGGAGGGAGGGGACATTGGCGAGCGTTGCGGGTGACAGGTTGCAGCTGGGTTGGCCCTGTCGATGCTGTCGACGGCAGCGTTCTACAAGTAGTGTGAACGGAATGGTTTGTTCTCGTTTGAAGTGCCATCCCAAAGCTCTGGAAATGCTGTCGACGGCAGGTTATTGTGAGTGCAGATTGTTATGCGGGTAAACGGCGGTGTTATTTTGTGAGTGTAGGTTGTTGTGTTCGCCCTTTTCCTGTGCCATCCGATAGGTCAACTGCTTCTGTGCCAGGGGCAGCAGGAAAAAGACGATGCGGCCGGGTTGGACCATTAGTACAAGGTCCCACGCGAAGAACTTTTTTTCTACATACACGACTTCTTGTGTTTTTTCGTGATGTTTCTCCCTTGTGTTTTTTCGTGGTGTAGTCTGCTTTCGTGTCCGCCTTGTACATTGAAGGCCTCTGTTTTTTTCTCCGGTTTCATGCGTATGCTACAAGAACGCTCTCGTGTTCCTTCTTTTTGATAGAGTCAGCACTCAACCAAATCCATTGGAACCCTGAATTTCGAAACTCTTGGGTGACGCGGCCTGCCTCTCACCGTTTCGTGGCACGTCATGAGAAGGTGTTTAACTGGTTCTGCCTCTCTTCTGTGTGTCGCTCGCTGCCTGCTTGCGTGCCTACCTGTCTTCTCTCTCTGCGTCTCGGTCTCTCTCTCTCTCTCTGCATCCTTCTGTCGGTGTGTTGTGGTAAACGTCGTCGCAGGGCTCGCATCGAGACTCTTCAGATGTACCGTCAGAATGGCATTACCACCATCGCCGAGGGGATAGAGTTTGACAAGGCCAGGCAGAGGCGTCAGGAGGAGGTGCGCTACTACAAATCATTTTCACACCTCGATTCCAAGGCTTCCACTCTCTCCTATTAGTCGATTCGAAGGCTTCCGCTCTCACTCCTTGTCAGGATGACGTTCTGCCTGACGCTGCCAGGCAGAGTGTTTTAGCAGCAGGAGGACTTGGCACACCCACCCCCACACACTCCCTTTGCGCTCCGTTGACTTTGTTCATTTGCATTCGAATTTGTGGATGACGTCTTGCATTGCGCGTGTTGTTTTTACAGCTGGCCTCTCAAAAGCACCGCGAGTCTGCCTCCTACCTGTACGACGGGCACGCCTCCGCTAAGGGGAGCACCGGCGACCGCAACCGGCGCTACAAGGACAGGAACAAGGTGGGGCGTTGACGCTGCCGTAGCGTAACGCTGCGACAGACGGTGCACATTGATGGAAGTATTGATTGGCTCTCTGTGTGTCTGTCTGTTTCTCTGTTGCTTGTCTTTGTCCGTACGTCTGTTTCTCTCTCTGTCTCGCTCTCCCTTCCATCTCTCCTTCTATCCCCCGCTCCATTGTTTGCTGCGTCTCTCTCTCTCTCTCCCTCTCTCTTTCTCGTCTGTCTCACATTTATCCCAACGGTACGCCCATGTAGGTATCCGTGTCTCTGCACGGTAGAGGCGATGACATGGTGGTACACAGCGGCATGACGAATGCTCCCCCCGATCTCACTCTTGAAATGTAACGCCTCTTGTTGCTACGACAGGGCGGCGGTATGTCGGACGGAAACGGGGACGACGGTCGAAACGGCAACAACCTCCTCGACGTCGAAGGGGCCCCGGGGGTGGAGTACCTATCCCCCGCCGAGCGCGCGCTATGCTCGCAGCTGCATCTTCTTCCAGGGTACTACCTCGTCATCAAGGTAATTAACTAACTCTTCCATGATGTAGGCCGCATTTCTCTGTCCTGCACGCTTCAGACGGACACTTGTCGATAGCCACATCAAGAACTACCTTGTAAACTGGCGCAATGGTTCTGCGTCCTAGTTATGCCACACGGTGGTAGTTGGCTCTTCATGGCGTCGTTTGCTCATTGTCTTTTGGCGTTGCTCGCGGGCTGTTGCCGCCTACCCTGTGTTCTTGCCTCCCGCCAACAATCGAAGGGGGCTCCAATTTAGGATTGAGTTATTGCTCGCGTAGCTTCAAACCGCACACGCGTCGTGTATGTTTTCCCTGTACTGGCCGGTCCTGTGCGTAAGTACCTCGTCGTGAGATTTTGGACTTCGGATCTGTGTTCCTCTTTGTCGTCTTCGATGTTCCTGTTTTACTTGGAATGTCACGTCTGCTCTGGTTGCTTTCATGTGTACCTCTCGTCTCTCGTCCCCACCGGTTCTTTCTTTGCATGCTGCCCCCCCCCATCCCCTGCTTGTCCTTGGTTTTTCAGAACGCCATGATTCAGGAGTGCGTGAAGTCCGGCTGTCTGAAGAAGAGCAACCTGGCCGGCCTCGCCACACTGGACAAGCCACGCCTAGATAAGGTATGTACATGTAGACAAGGTCGGTAGTACATTGTACACACCGAAGCCAAGGTGTCGCTTTTCGTCCCGTGCGCCCTGGTTGCGCCTCGTTGTTATGTTTCACCCCATTGTCAATTGCTGTCGCTCGCGCTTTCTGCTAAATTCCCACGGCCCGACTTGGACGTAGTTTTTGTTTGTAGATGCTGTTGTTGTGGCTGTGTTGGATTTTGTTTGGTTCGTGGCCTGTTGCTGTGGTTAGCCTCTACTCTACTGTACTTGGTCTCTATCCGTGCAAACTCGCTTGTTCACATCGTAGCGTAGGAGGGGGTGTAAGGGACACAGTATGGTATGGACATGAGAGCGACAATGACGATCGGTTTGTCCATGGCGTAACTAGTGCGTGGTTGTCGTGTGCAATACCGACGCTGTTCGTCGAAGTTGGGATGCCCAGTGTGCCGGGTGGGCTTTATCTTGGATGTTGCACCATGCGCTTCGTGTTTTCTCGTGCCCTCGCTGTCGTGACTGACTTACCATGGTACACGGGTGTTCCCACGGTGCTGGCTGGCCCCACGTATCGCCGTCTGCGGTAATTCGTTGGCAGCGAAATGGAATCAACCTCCGCCACACGAAATCCGCCTTTTCTTACACCCCCCGGTTTACTATTCCCGACTGGTCAGATGTACGACTTTTTCTCCACCTCTGGCTGGGTGACGGAGAAGCACCGAGACTTCGAGATCAGCGGTGCGGCCGCCAACGCCATTCCTGGCAGCCCCCCGGCTTGAGCGATATACGCCTTCCACCGCCGTGACGGACGGACATCACCGGCCGAACACGGCATATTGGGGCCATCTTTCTCAGGAGCTCACGAACGATTCTGTAAGGGGTCTAGCATGACTGTAGGTGATCTGCGGTAGCGGCTGCTGCTCTTTCAGCAGGGGAGTTCTGGGTGCGGCGGCGTTGTTAGCGCTCGGCGGCGGTGGTTTCTCTTCCCGTTGCAGCAGCCCTCGGGTTGTGCGATATCACAGCGTAGACTTGGTATATGTCTTATCCTTTTGGTTTAGCCAACCAACGCCATCGCCGTCGGCGCTAGGTGGAGGGCAGTAGGTGGAGGCCATGCCGCGGCGTTACCAGGTACAACTTTTCTGCCAAGCCAAATGTTCCAGGGGCGTTAGCACAAGCCCCTCTCCACCGCGCAGCAGACCTTGTGGATGTTCTTCTTTTGTTTCGGATCAGGTTTCGACCGCAGCGTTGAGGCGTCAGCAGTAGCAGCAGCAGCAGCGGCAGCAGGGAGAGGTTGTTGCAATTTTGATAGCCTTTGTGCCGGTGCATCGTGGTGTTTGATATTTTCTTTTGCGCTCCGCTTGCTTTGGCGGAGGCAGACAACGCCAAGAACCCCTTGCTTGATCCTTGGACGTGTACTGGGTGAAGAACATTTAACGGCCGCGTGGCTTGACCTCGTCTAGTTATATCGGGGAGGGTGTATTAAATATCGCATGGAATAATAAAAAATTGGGAAGAGAACAAGAACCGTCATTATTTTTCGGCCGCTGCATCATCTACGAAAAGTTTGCCGGTTGTACCAATGTCATGCAGGGTAATCATATTGTGTCGGGCTTCCTGGGGGCGGGGGCGGGGGCGGGGTAGATCAGTTTGTGTCTGGCGGCCGAGTCTGTCTGTGTTCGCTGCAGTTCTAATATGAAAGGAAGGAGTTTCAACCTATGGCACCGGGTACGCCCGGTAGTCGTGCACGCAGTAGCTCGAGCACAGAAATAGTAGTGGAAGTGCGGATTTTTGGAAAGTCTTCGGTGTGGTTGGCAGTTCGGCGTTTTAGTTCGGTCCCTTGTGGTGCCTCAGGCCGGTAGATACATGTCACCAGCGCGGTGCCATGTTATGTCTCAACACGATAGTAGGTTTTCATGTTGTTGTGTTTGGTTGTGGATGGTGGTATGTACATTCCACGTCTCGATGTGGACAAAGAATGTGGCAAGTTGCCGCCGCCAGGGGTTCTTGTCCTTATCTGGTTCACAAGTTGTGAGAGCACTCGCTTGCGGTGTGTTTTTTTTGTGGACGATTCGCTCTTTCGTGAGATTTTTTTGTTGTTGTTGAAGGCGTTCCCCCTTGCTGACCTCGGAGTGGACAGAGCTGCTTCCCACCTGGTCGTTCTGATGGGTACGTCGGGGGCGTCTCAGTTAGTTGACTGCACGGCTTTGGTGCGCGCGTGCGCTTGTAGGGAGCGTTTGATGGTAGTATGCGGGTTGGTCTGCAATCGTGGGGAATCGAACGAGTAGGAATGAGCACCTGGTGTTTGATCCCGATTCTGTTGGTGGTTCGTGATTGGTTCGGTTGTCCGGTAAGCCCCCAAGTGTGCCAAGCGAAGTTCGTCGTATGTATGGTAGCAGCACGTGTCATCGCCCGGAACGCCCTAATGCGTACAAGGAAAGGGGGACGATTGTCGTCGTTGCTACGCAGGTGTAGTGTCTCATGGTAGACTACAATGGACGATGCCAGTGCTTTTTGATGCGCAATATTTCTCTGTTATTTTGTTAGGCTTGTCTGGGGGTCATGATAGGTGTAGTGCCAGGGACTTAGTTGAGGGGAAAATTCGAGAACCGTAGTAGTAGGTGGTCGTGCGCAACAAGGGTGCCGGTTTCACGGGAGATATGTTATGCGTAGTTGGCGTGTTGTGTGGTCAAAATGTTGGAGAAGAAGTGCCGTGGCAAAGGTATGTGAGTGAGCGGGGCGGACTGCTTGGAGAGATGCGTCCGTCACAGCCCAGTTCAATCAACTGTTGTTCCCGAAAGTAAACCTTTTTGAGGCTTTTATGGGTTGTTGAGGGGTACGCCCTTTGATATCTTGAATGCTGGTAAGGAAGGCGTGATGAAGTACTAAGTATGAAGTCATGTCTGAAGAGTATGGTTTTGCCAGGCGCTATCACCAGCAATGTGTTAGTTTGCTATTTTATATTTAATTTCCTCTGTTCCCCTATTGTCTTATGGTGAAAATGGATGCGTGGCTCCGTTCATCGAAGGCTCCGTTCATCGAAGCACAACGAGAGAGGCACCTAATAACCTTAAACTGGAGTACATGAAACGATGAATATCTCAAACACAACATACAAAAAACATTCGGAAGTTGAGAGTGAACACTGGTGATGGCGAGTGTTACTGGGTGCCCCGACAGTCCCATATAGCTGGATATGCCTGTAGATTTGCCCCAACCTCAATCCAGCGTGGAAGCGGGCGGCGTCGTCGAGAGAGTCATGGACGTCAGCAAGAATATGGTTGCTCAAGTTCGGCATGTACCCGAGGCGGCAGTCGTCAAGGGCGCGTGTGTGGACGTTTTCATATTTCAGTGACGCCTGCTGAAGACCCTTGAACAATGTGTTGGGCCTTCTGGTACCCGGCGGGACTACGTTCAACACCTCATAAGTCGCGAGGTATGAATGAATATGAAATCATTCGTCGAACTTGGGTGGCTTCAACGACAAAATCTGGAGACACGATACTACGATGGTACAGCTGACCATTGGGTGAATTGATCCGTGGCCGCGGAAGGCGTCCGCGACAGTTGGACCGGTACGTAGGAAGACCTGCGCAGAGACCGGGACGGTTTTACTCACGATGATGTGTACACCACTGACAAAAAACGGCATGTACCAGCTGTGTAACTGCCGCGAATGTGATTGGCGCGCTAGGGAGGGGCTGACAGTCTTTTCGTATCGCGGAGCCCCCTACACTGCCCGAGAAGTGTGGAGCAGCAGCACAGCAACGTAGGTCTCTAATCTCTCACGGCGTCGACAGCAGCCGCAAGACAGGGATCACTCATTCTGCTGGCAAGCTGCACGCGTTGGGGGCAGATAGAAGGGCGATGAGCGGGTCCTTGGGACAGTACACGGGTGTGATTGCGGCGGTCGTGTGCGGCCTCGTTGCCGTTGCTGGTACTACAGCTGTCGCCCGCAAGTGGAAGAGTGGGGGCACCAAGAGACGCATGCTGGGGGTGAGCAAACGGAGGTCTTGCAGGCGGGAATGGTGATGAGTAGCTGCTACATCACGCCCCGCATTGTGCGTACTAGTACAGCACTGGCGGCAACAGCAACGACGAGTTTATTCAGCGGTTGGATGCGGGGCAATTGCCCCGCCCCTTGTCAACCAAGCAACCAATATGACTGTCCGTGCTGTCTTCATCTTCTTGTACGTGCAGGTTTCCCGCCGCGTAATCCGTCGTAGCCCACGGCCACGGCTGCTTTGGAAAACAGCTTCAAAGAATACAGCTTGCACGTGTCTGCAATCCCTCTAGGAGACTGCTGTGAAATGATTGCTGCAACGATCGTTTTCGCGCGTCGTGGAGTGGATCACCCCCTACACTGACGTTAGTTCTACTTGCACATTGGTCACCATGCTGTTCCTGTCCTCCTGTGTTATCGCCGTAACTGGTTGCCTCAGAACATCGCTAGTGGTCGCGAATTTTTAGATGCGCTATCGGCAGAGGTGGCGGATTTGGAGGCTACAATTGCTCTGGCAGCCGAGGCTTCCGACCTCGACACTGCACGAAAAGAAGTAAGCCGTTCAGATGTAAACACAAACGTGTTGGGGTTCATGTCACGCTGGGAATTTTTGGGTTTGAATCCAGGGGATTTGCAGCCGCCAGCCCTTTTGCCAGCTTCACGTTGCTGCAAGCTAGCCTGGCCCCTTCAAGGTTCAAGTAGGTCAGGCGGGGGTAGCCCTGTAGGATTGTTGCTACTAGTATTGATGTTGGTCTGTTCTTGTTCTTGTTCGTTGTGCGTAAAACAGGGATAGCGCAAAGACTGCACAGTTGATCGGTCTCTTCGTCTCATTATCTCACGTTTCTGGGAAATTGCGGCTCGTCTCATCACAAGGTACCTCTGGCTTTGAGCATCAAACAAACACCCACCCGACCACTCTCGCCCCTCGTTCCCGCCGCGGCCCTTCCCTTGCCTCCAAACCTCCACGAAGAACGAGAGAAAAAGCAGAGAGCATGACGAGCACGTGACTCAGGTTTTGACGCACCTGGACAAGTGCACGGGGGGTGACGAAATAGGCGTCGCCCGAAAAAAGCAGGTGATTATTGAACCCAGCAATTCTGGGGAATGGTTTCAGTCTTCCTTTTCGACCCGGGCAAGCCATACCGTTGTTCACGCTAGTTTGCCTACACCTGTCCCCGAGCCATGGTGCGGTAGGCAGCGGCCATGACGGAACCACATGAATTGCCCGTCGATTGTGACACTTTCTTGACCGGCAATATGCGTTTTAAGCGGGCTAACCGCTTTCATGAAACCATTTGAAGCACAATCTGCGTATCTGCTCATCATGTGTTGTCGGCCAACGACCCGGCGCTTGTATTCCACGTGGCGCACTCTTGTGGTCGTTTCTGCCAAGACGTTTTAGCTACTGTAGCCTTCGACCAATTCCAGGCGTTGAAACATCATGTCGTGCTGCCGCCGCCGCCGCCGCCGCTAAACCCGCTCCCGAGCTCTAGAAGTTGGACACAGTCGAACACGCAACTTCCTCAAACCAACAAGTGAACGGCCGTTCCACCAGAGTTTTTGTCGCGGGCGATCCACACAGCGTACAGTATTCCCCTAATTGTCGAGTGATGGTTTTCATCCTTGTGTCCGACGTTTTTTGGCAGATCCATCGAGCAGAGGTGTTGGGGCTTCGCATCAGCAAAATATTGCCTGGGGGACCCGTGGATGGATGATCAGAGGAAAATGAGGCGCAATGCGTCAGACCCATCTGCGTCTCCCCGGGATATTCGAACCTTTTGCACACTTGTATGGACGGGAGCGCTTCTGCGTCTGCTGGTGTTTTGCATCACTTCCTTGGCAAAGGTCCATCAAGTGCTTGCATTCTCAAGAATATCCTTGTATAGGGTGCACAGCAGTATTGTTGTTGCTGTTGTAGTTGGTCATGTTCGTCATGGGCGCTGCATGTTAAAGAATATACTGTAGTCGGTTTATGGTGGATGGGTCTGCCATTTTCAGGGCCGGTAGCGAGCGCACCTTCACTGTGCATTGAACAGCAAATGACATGCTCAGCAGCGGTCAAGCAAGCACCACATTCAATTCACGGATGGAGGTCAGAGGCCTAAATCGAGCCCGATCCCCCTTTCCCCCTTTAGAGATGTGTGTACATTCTGTGTGTTTCCCTACGATTTACGTTCGTGCGCCTTTGGTTTTGAGCCGGTGTTGTTCGTTTCATCCGTGTTCGTGCAGTTTTCATAACGTTTGGCGCTCTATCACGCGAGGCTTTTGTCAAAGGCGGCGCGCGAGAATTGGTAGATGTGTTTTGCACTACTTTGTTCCTCTCTCGGGGATCTGGCTATTCATCTGTTTAGCATGTTCAAGCTCTTCCGGCCGTATCCCCCACTTTTTCAAGAAATTGGCAGCTTCGTGAAACAAACATGGTACATCCCTTCTGTTGTGAAAAAAAAATCAATTTGGTGTGACCAGCTCGATCTGTTTGAGGACCGACGCGTTTTCCCCAACCGTCGAGCCTGTTTTTCCGCATCTGGTGAAGCCTACGTGGTTTTCACTGCAAGTTTGATATAGCACGGAGTTGGCGCAGAATCCGTGTTACTCCTCCGAGGCGGTACGCGTCAGGCCGGGTTAGCATCTGCGCGGGCAGGTCGTTCCGCAATGCGTACGAACGAAACCGCCTCTGCGCGCGCCCACGCCCTCAACTTATTGTGTCAGCAGAGGGCGAACAAGAGAGCCAAGCACTTCCTCAACTTACGTCATTTTAGCGGGTGGGACTTGTGCCCGTTTTATTTTTGCCCGACCTCGACATATTTTAGCGCCTGGTACACGTATCGTACCCCTGTACTACACGAGGTTTCCTTTTCCTGTCTGGTTGCACTGCATGATGTATGTATTTTCCGCGTTCATTTCGAGTTCATATTCCCGCGTGAACTTTCCCCGTCGTCTTTGACAACAGTAGTACCTGGTGAACGTTTCGTTGCGCTCGACTACACGAGGATTCAATTGTTAGGCAGACGCTTTCCCGCCTTATTTGTCCTCGCCTAGTTTTGTTGACTGGTTGGACTGCATTATTTCCCGCGTGTATTTCACTCGTCGGACTGCATTGCATGCCACTTTCACCTTGCGCGTTCTATGAGTGGTCTGCGTACTGGATGCTGTAGTTCGTGAGTTTACCCTTGCAAGAGACCCAAGCGAGGAGGTGGAGCATAGTTCGTCGAGGGCCGTTCCTGGAGGCGCGTACCACGTCTTGAATTCTGACATTTTGCCCCCATGCTTCCGCTTTTCTACTGGCTGTCGGTTGTGGTCCTCCGCCGTTTGGTTGATGGCCATGATATCACTCACAATGTCAGCGACACACGAGAAGGTCTTGGTGCCAAAACCAGTCGTATCTGGTTCCTCTTCTTCCTCGATCATCTCAGAAATTCGACGGAACTTACGGTAAGTTCGTACGTTGCGCTCGATTGCCAGGTCTAGAGACGATCCAAACCTGTCTCTCCAAGGCCCCTCGAGCACAAGCCGGTACACGTGTCCCTCACGAACCCCAACGTGTACTGTGGGCGGTCGGAGGTTCGTTTTCCCGTCGGATGGTCCAAGAATATTGGCACCAGTGCCCCGATGTGACCACACCACCACGCTGGCCTTGGTCGTATAGAGCCACTTTTCGAGATGGAATAATGTCAAGGTGGGTGGTTCTGTATCCCCCGAAACCCATTTGTCGGACTCTAATGCCCCGATGTCTCGCTCCAGTAGAATCGAACCGAGGTTGCGGAAGTAGTTCCCACCATCAGGCGCGCCCTTTTTTGGTCGACCACTACGGGATGAGATCGTAAACGCACCCGTAGGATCTACATCGCGGAATCCAAACCTTGTCCTCTCCCGTGCTTTTAGCAGGTCGACTTGACTGTCGCGCCAAGCGTCGGCGATGAGGACAGCGAGACAGGTTCCGGGAAGCTGATTTTGCCATTTTTTACCGAACGCAGTGATGGGGGCATATCTCACAACTCTATGCCCGAAGTTCCCTATGTTAAGCAGTCTGAAAAAGAGGCTCTGTGAGTCGATACCAGATCGGACCTTGAGGCTCACAAGAGAGATCGGGATGCCGGAGTCGACGTCGATCCTCCTGCCAGCTGACGCCCAGCAGAGGATTACTCGCCAGGTATCGTCGGCCGCTGACACAACCAGCTCTCCAACGCCACCACCCTCTACATCTACAATCGCTGTGCGCCAAGCCTCGGCGTCACGCGGGTGGACCATGCCTCTCTGCAGCACCGTCCTCGCCCAAGTTTGGAATTTGTACAGGTTGGGATCTCCTCCGAGGGGGTGCGAGTTGAACCACATGTGTCCCGGCCCCGGCGAGGAAGGGAAGGACATACGAACCCTAAAACCCGTGCCGAAGACGGCCTGGCGCCTGTAGGTGACCCCTTTAGGCCCCATGTACCGCCACCCGTTGCTCCTGCCTGCGCGAGGTGCGGCCTGGTCTACCTGCTCCACGTAGCACCACCGGTAGCTGGTGGCATGTGATGATGGTAGAGGTGCCGTGGTTGCCCGTGCCATCCTCTCTTTAAAATGAGCCAACGTATTATTTCTCTTTTTTACCCGAAGCGTCAACCACGGTGGTGGCACCGTTGACTGGTGACCATAATATATCTGTCTCTCGATGACTCCGTGTGGTGGAGACGCGATTGGAATGTAGAAAATGCCTCTTCTTCTGTGAGGGAAGAACGTAGTTGTGAGCGTGTGGGTGTTTCCTGGCGACGATTGTTTCCCGTCAAGATTTGTCCCTGCTGTGTGTGCCTTTTTTACTCAAAGAGCGTCCGTCCATCGTGTGGATGCGATAGATAATACCACGAGAAGAGGAGAGAAAGTGGTGGGTTCAACACTCAGCCCAGGTATTTTTCGGTGCGGCCAGGTGATAAATAAATGCGTTCGTCCAGGACACGAACGATTGTACTATACGTGTGGTCGGCGGTTCTCGCGAGTGACTGAGCCCATCAACCAAATCAGTCGCCCACGGCGAGTGTAAGGTTTTCGAGTTTTCCCCCGAGAGAAGAAGTCATGATCGTGGCTGACGTCATCGGTCGACCATGGAATTTTCCGAACACTTTCAAAACAATTGGCCAATCAGAAAACTGCGGGCACCTTCTCTCTCTCTCTCTCTCTTCCCGGATATCAAAACCATTTGTCTACTGTACACATGTACACATGGAACTATTCTTTTTTTTACGTTGTTGGCTTTGTTTCCCCTTTATTTGAAATCTCCCACCTCAAGTATTTTGTCTCTTTCCTTGAAGTTGTACATACCACCGTTTCTTCGAAGGATGCCCCCCCCCCCCCCCCAACAACTTTGGCCTGGAAAACAACTACGTCGGAAGTTTTGTCCCGGGAGGTCGAGTGCCAGAGACGTTGAAAAACGGTGCCACCCTTGTCTCGACGAGGTGGCCCCGGTGTTCTCATATATTCGCATGGCATGGCAATTAGTCTTTAGACCGTGGAATTTGCATTCCTGCAATGGGACGGAGTTTTTTGCCGGCCCAGTCAAAGTTTCACAAGGATGAGAACCAGAAGCTGGTCATCACCCTTCCTAAAGTTTGCTGTGCCAAACCAGACATGCCATGGGTCGATTGGGATCCCAGCTTACAAAAAAATCATATTCGGTAGGCAGGACTATACTTCAAGTCTTTGGGGGGGGGCGTCTTTGGGATCTTCACTAGAAGCAGCAACGTTCTTATTGTGTCTTATTGTAACTTCCCACTCCCGGCCAACGTTCAATCTTTCTCTCTTTGAAGATAACGACGTACCGACCTGCCCGTGACGTCGCCCCGTTGGCAAAGGTGCATCAAATGTGCGCTCGTCGTGAGTATACAGCAATATTTCTGTGAACATCCAACTTCGAGAGCGCAATTGAGGGTTGGTAGGTTTTGGTTCCCCAGGACAAACACTTTTTCTTGTGGTGATCTCAGGGTTTGACCACGTGGGATGGGCAGTCGAAAACGAAGAATAAGGCCATCCATGCAGAATAAAAAAAATCCGGCGAACTAAACGTGTCCCAAGAGTGCCGGCGATTGGCCACTTCGCTCAATTCGGTTCTTCTGCAGGACGGGCCTTAGAATGTACCACTTACAAGGACGACTTATACCAGCGCGTGATCGCACATCTGTCGGGCACACCCCTCCCACGAACACGGCAGCCCGACACACAATGGCCGTTTGGATGTTGTACTGCAGCATGACAGGATCATGCAGTCATGAAGCGTACACAGTATTAGGAAAAATAAATTAAGGAATAATAAAAACACATACAAACACAGAAAGCTGCCCGTTCGAGAGATAACCACAGTCCGAAGGCACGGCGGTAGACTACTGCAGTCTACTACTGTTTCTGCTTGCTGTCATGCCTCGGCGAAACGACACCTATTCCGCCGTATTTTTCTGTTACCACACACCGTACCGTATCCATCCTCAGATCTTCAGGGACCTTGGTCCCACTCGACCCCACAAGTTTTCGTTCGAGCGCTGTACAGTTCTTTTCACAACAGAGAATCGACAAGTCTTCTCCGATGTTTTGGGAACGAGTTGCGGAAGTTCTAGAGATTGATCGTCGCACGTCGCCACGTGAAGCATTGGCTCTGGACGAACAGCAGGGGACCAAGCGTGCAAGAATGAAGGCCTTCGGTTATTCAGCCGCAGCAGCATTGCGTTTGGCCAAGACTAACGCACGCACACTGGGAAGAGCTATGAAGGGGTATCCCCACCTAACAATCCTGTCCTTTGCTTTGCTTTGTGAGCACCGGCGCTTGTGCTCATGGGCTCAAAGAGTGTGGTCTCAGAAATCCCGCCTCCACCGGCTTTCGCAGGTGACGGAAGCACACCTTCTTGCCGTGATTTTCTCTTTCTTTCCGAGCTCTTCAGTTTTTGCTCATTGCTGCACGTGCCGATCCGAGCCTCGAAGGCCCCCCTTCATCCCGCCGGAGGGCTCATCATTGTTACTTGCCAACCACGACACCGAACCAACACATACCCGTAGCCACACAGTCACATGAGATATTTCTAGCAGCAGGCCCGGCCGAGGGCTCAGCACTTGTACACGCTAGACTCTGTTCGACCCCGACTCTTCGAGATAGAGTGAGTTGTCGATGGAACGACGAACACCACATATAGTCAGTCACTATATGAACGGACTGGCGTGTCAGCAAGAAGAGAGGGCGAGAGAAATGGATATTCTCCATGTTATACGGTTTCACGTTTTGTTGCAATTGGTTGGCACATTATATGGGAAAGACATGTTGTCTGTACGGGATAAGCACCCTGTTGTTTCAAGTAAGTGTGGCTACTCTTCGCGTGAACCTTTGTGAAAGGTTGTCATGAAAAGCTGTGGTTCTCACATACCTCCCAGATAAATTGCAGAACGGATGAACGAACTCTTCTATCTCATGCTGGAACTCCAACAAATGGCGTGCGATGTACACTGTTTTGTACATTGTGAACCTGTGCTGTCGAGATGCACCGTTATATTGTCTTCACCGTCTCGTGCAAAATAACAGTTAGTTGCAGAATTACACAACCTCTCCTTCCGTCGCTCGTTCGTCGTTATTCGTTCACGTCGTCTTGAAGGAGATAGGCCGGCACAGCGCCACGTTGGATGGAATTGATATCTCTGGGCTGGAGGCCGACGTAGGCGTGGCACCACAAGCGCAGGTACATGTTCTACAAAATGAATACAGAGCACGCGCCGCCAGAAAAACAGTCACGAGTCATGCTGTTCTGTGGAGACTAACGTGAAAGGCACGTGACGAACCACGAAAGCCAGTACCGATGGAGATGCCCCGAACGCCTCTTCTACTGTACGTGACACCCGTGATCAAATTCCCCCGTTGGCAAGCGCGATCAAAGATCAGAATGATACGCATACGCGAACAATCGCTACACACAATGCACCGACCACGACTTGAACGAAGCTCGTCCAATATGTGAAGATACACATTCACTCCATGCGTCTCATGTTGATCTCTTTAAGGACAGGACGCGCCTTGCTCGCTATCATCCACGCAATCGTGATTGAACTGTTTTCATACGTTTGGTAGCCTTGCGTGCTTCTGGGTGGCGCCCGAAGAAAACGCCACGACGAACCGACGTCCAAGTCATTACGCCAGCGCGTTAACCTTGGACTTCGGGAATGCCCACTTGGTTCGCACCATCACCAGCCGTTGAAGCAAGAATTTCCCGGATTTCTTGATCACGTTCTTGCTCCTACCACTTACTTCCGTTCCGGGGCAACAGATTTCGTCCACGATGTTGATAGCTTCCCGATAGCATTGTAACACAACGCATAAACGTGTCATAAACGGCGGTATTGTCGTGGAGTTGAACCTACCTCCAACGTCCATCGGACGTCAAACGTGTACGCAACCACTGCATATTTTAAGCAAGGCACGCACTCCACCAGCACTACGGCGACTTGCGGTATCGATCGAACGATACATCGTCGTATCTGAGCCTTGGCGCCCGAACTCCTCATATACCCCTGTTGTCCTGCTTCCTCTATGTGCCGCCAATCCGTTTAGTTAAGGGATCGTTGCGCGACACTGTTGGTTGCTATCATCGGGGCAAACAATTGTTTGGACGACATGCCTCGGGTCGAGGAATTGCGCGACCGCCAAAAAGTTGAGGTAGGTGTCCTACATTTTCTTTAGGCTTACAAGGGTTCTTTGTGCTCCACAGGCAGAATGAACATGTATGTCTGCTCGTTCGCTGACAAAATAGATTTGGTACGTTTCTCTTCGACGCAGAACCTAAGGATGACAAACATCAGATCGGTTGAGGTCCTGCCGAGCTCCCCTTCTGCAGTAAAGCACGCCGTTGTATAAGCTCTCCGCACTGCAGTACACCACATTCCTTGTATTACCCCCCGCGACGCCTGGCTCCCATCATGGCGTCTTGACGCTGCAGCACGAGTGAGTACAACAGCATACAGTCTAGTGTGAAAGTCTTTGCCCTGTCGTCCGGCGTTATGTACATGCATGCATGCATGCATTGGCATGAATGCACGTTCAACGAGGCAGGTCGACCGGGCAACAGCCATGGAAGATCGTGTTCGGCAAGTCCTTGGCCGGATAGGATAGACCGAGGCCGTGAAGACAGTCTAGAGACAACAGGGTTGTGTGCGGGACGACGGCAGGATTTCGAGACCAAGGTTTCGTAGATCAGGAGAACCGGCGCTTGGAAGAGTTGTGCAGGCGAACAACGTGGTATGCATCGCCAAAGAAGGAGCGTGGTATCTGCATACACCAGTATTTGTTCGTGAACCGCACGACTTCAGCCCTAGAAGACTCGATTCCGGCCTGTTCCCATGGGTCATTTTCTCGCTTCGAGATGTTCGCGAGTTGAGGTTGAAGAACCAGGCCCCCCTACTATCGAATGTGCCGAGTGGAAGTGAAAGCTCCGTAAAACACTTATGGTGGCACAGCAGCAGTGCCGACCTGTTCATATTGATTGCCAGTTCTCGGGCAAGGGGTCGAATCGCTGGCGTTGCGGTTCTTTGGTGTCGCCCTGCTTCCATTCGTTTGTCTCCATTTACGGGCACTTGCATGAGGTTAAACCCGACTCGGAAAGAGCAGTGATCACAACGACCGGCTGCCTTCCCGAAAAAGGCAACCTCAAGAGCAGAGACAGCGCAAGCTAAGCGTCGCCTACCCTAGCCAAGACAATACAGAGGTTGGCTACCCTTTACCCGGGGAGGGGCGTAGCGCAGCGACTGTCTCCTAGTGAAAACAAAAAGGGAGGAATGAATGTGGTACAGAATGTAGGCACACAAATAAAATGGGCAGGCAAAATCATTAAAAGACACACCCAGCGTGCGCCCAAACCGCGGCACTAACGAGAGCCAAACGCGGACTACAAGGCACCTGACTGAGTGCACGAAAAAAAAGAAGAAGCTACAGCTACAGCTGGCACATCAGTGGTGGCACCAAAAAAGAGCGGTAGCAGCGGCGGCAATCACAAAAGCTACAGCCGCAGAAAGAGACGGGAGACACTCATGATAAGCAAGCTCCCAGCATTCCCCAAACCGGACCAAACATTTCGTCGCTCTGTTGTAGCAACACCCCCAGCAACAACGCTTGAGCGTACATGAGAAGACACCACGATAAGCCACCGCCCACGCACACGGGTAAATTGCGCATTTTTTCGGCACTTCCCCGCCTCGGTTCAGCCTCGAAGCGTGGAGTGGTATTACACGTGAACACGAAACCGACCGCCTCTGCGCTTGGATGTCCAAGACGTGATTGATCTCTCCTAGCTCCCCACAACGCCCGCCTGATAGACGAGACATGCTGCGAGACTGAAGGTCAACAAGCCTTGTTGATGTCGGAGCACGCCATGCCGGCCAAAAACCCGACATTTCCGAACGAAGACAAGTTGCGAAACCCCCTTTACAAGATGGGTTGGTGGTTCCCTATTGCCGAACTCATGACAGCAAAAACAAAAATGAAGCAAATCGACAAGGGCGTTGCCGGAGACATGCGGGGATTTCGCGGGACCGAGTACTTCGTACGAAGCCTCCCCAAGCCAAAATTGCACAAACGCAAGGTGGGACGTTGAAACACCGTCAGGAGGCGGTACCCAGACCTTTAAAACAGCGAGAGGGGTCATGAAAATTCAACAGCGGTGCTCTCCCCCCCCCCCACCCCCCGCCTCTTCCGTTGCGGCAAAGTTCGCCTACAGACCATAAGCACTAACACCCCTTCCCCTCCCCCATTGCTACTGTCGCGGGCCTCGACTAGAACAAAACCGCGCCGAACGACAACCTGATGAGCTAGCCTTCCCGCCGATTTCTCTGCTGAATCGAGATACAGAGCCCCGAAATTTACAGCGCAACTACTGCTGTATCTCCCGCGCAACACGGTCGGACGGTAAAACGGACGAGGAGGGCGGGGCTTCGTCTTTGCCTTGGGTTGTTGACCATTTCGAGAAAAAAAAGGCGGCAGCGCGAACGCGTAGTTGGTGTTTTATCTGTTGCCTCCCTTCGCCACGGCCACGTCTGCCCTCGAAGCGGGGATCGGGAAGATTTCCAGCCCTTCGAACTTGAAACCGCCAGGAATCTGTTCGGGTGGACATCCCACGTTGCACAGAAAAGGAAAGGGAAAACGGGCGGCGAGAGTGTAAATTGGCGACAAGAAGCTTGACACCAAGTCTGGTCTTAACCGATGCAAAATGTAATCTTTAGAAACGCGCGAAAAATGAGCATCTGACTAGGCATGTTCCCCGGCCGAAGGTGGCGCTCTATTGGGGAAAACAGGCGCTCGAGTTTGTGTGTGTGTGTGTCTTGTGTCATTTGTGAGAGAGGGCGCTTTCCGTTTTCAACGGCGAACCCAGCCATGAACAACGCAATCGCTTACCGCAGTAATAAACACGCCCCAACAGCAACAACATCAACACCTAGGGAGGGGGGCAAAAACAAACAGGGTACACGCCCTTTTGCGGGTCAGGATTCTTGACCGATACGCACGGTCACGTAAAAAACTCCCCCCTCCCATATCTCTTCCCTTTTCGCAGTCTCGACTCTCCAACTCAGCCCCACCCCCCTGCCACACCTCTCAGTGCGTACCAAGAAGAAAAACCTCACCCCGTCCCAACTACCGCTGCAACCCAAAACAACTTTGTACTGTACTTCCAAGTCAAAATGCCACCAGGAAACCGCAAGGGGCACCATATACTGCGACGACAAAAAACAACCAGAAACAAATCTCACCTCGTTCTCCTCGAGAAGAACCTCCCCGTCCAGGGTAAAGACCATCACGAAGGTGGTCTGGGTCTGCAGCTCCTCGATCTCCTCGCTCTTGAGGGCCACCACTACCTGGTCCCCCGTTCCGGGAACAAACTTGTATTGTTTTTCATTCGTTCGCATCGGACGGGGACGGAGGACGAAGCGGAGCGAGACGCGAGAGACGGCGGGGGGAGGGGGTTACGCAGCGTTGAAGCGGGTGGGGTGTGTACCGTCAAAGGTCGGGATTGTGTCCCACGCCCTCGCATCCTGCGACCACACCGGACGCGGACCTCACAAGCGTTGGTTCGCTTCGTTTCACACGTTATACTGCTGTAGGTGACACAAGATGTCACAACCCCTGGACCATTATTCAGAGTGCTAATTCTCCACTCCACAGATGAGGTTGGCGGTGCTGAAAAAGTGGGGGCGTTGGAAGCATCTCATCGAGAGCTTTCCGAAAACGCATCAAATAATTCAGACACCCTTCTTCGTCGTGGAAGAAGCGCAATGTTGAGGATTGGTCCAGGGGGTCCGATATCCTGTGTCATGTCTTGCGCAGGGATAGTGGAGCGGTGTTTTTTTCGCGAGACTGTAACACGGGCAGCCCCAGCAACCCGAGGCAGCCCGCAGGAGACACCCGTGTCATCTTACAACGCATCGCTTCCGTCGAAAATCGTATTGCCGCCACCGAACACGCTGCGCCGTTTGTGGCAGTTGCGGCTGAGACGGGATCGACAAATGTGCGCCACCAAACTGGGGAGAGGGGAAGCGTTACTCGAAACGTTTCTAGGAACGTTTCTAGGAACGTTCCCCCTCTCCCATCTTCGTGGCACTCTTTTGTGGATCCCTTCTGGGCCCGCCTGACAGCCGCCACATACCACCGCCACAGACGGCGCGAGGTGTTCCGGAGTGGGAAACAATCCCCGGGCGGCATTGTTGACGCAAGGGCCATACCGACCGCAGCCTTGGGTCTCTGGGCCGCCCCCATGTTACCGTAATCCCGATTACTTGGCACAAAGGATGATGGGACCAGAGAGTGCCACCGACCACATGCACAGCGCGACGGCATGGGAGATAGCCAGGCACCACACCAGCGTTGCGCTAACAGCACAAGGTACAGAACGGGAAGAACAGAACCATCCCCCCCAACGCACGCACACCTTGAAGGAGGAGAACCCGTGAGTCTCGACGATGTCACCCACGTGTCTCACGTCCACTTTTCGGAAGTCTTCGTCCACGATGAGGATCGTGTTCGACCCCATCTGAAAAAAATATAAAGACAAACGAGCACCGTTCATGAACAACACGGTGCCAATGCTTCAACAAGAGGGGGGGGAAAAGCCAGAAGAAATAGAGCTGGTGCCAGAGCCTATCGTATTTCAATAAATAGGGAAACGTGGGGTAGGAGATTTTTATGCACAGAGGGGGCAAGTGTCGATGTCCCTCTCCGTGTGCAAGTGGGGGTCGATGGCATTGCGACGATCTACATAGGAACAATATTGACAATTTTCGGCAGCACAAGTGAGGTTTGCCGGCGATACAAAGACAGACCGACCGGAGTCGGCGTCCGGCAAAAAAAAAAAAGAAGGGATTTCTTGTTGCGAGCGACTGGCGGGACCTGATGAATGAACTATGTACATAGGCAGCGATCAGAACCCATTCAGCAAGCCAACCCATCAAACCATGTCAAGACCGACATCAATTTTAACAACAAAAACCACACAGCATCGGATAAAAAAACACGACAGGCAACAGCAGCAGCGGCAGCAGCAGTATCCCTCTTCTGCGCCTGCTGCCGCGTGTCGATCGTCGCCATGCGTCGTTCGCACCTTCTCGTCCCTAACGTCGTCGTACTTCTCCGAGCTGATGCGGCGGGGCAGGAAGACCCACTTGTTGAGGGCGTCGCTCCAGGCGGCGGACTCGTGGATCATGTACCCGGGGAAGGTCGCCCCAACCTTATCGCGCAGCGTGCTGGTGGTGTTAGCCCAACAGCGCAAGCCCACGGAGAACGGAGCACGCACACGCAGCACGAACAAAAAACACACACACGCAAACGCAAGGCGCGGGGGGAGAACAGCCAAGGGTTGGAGGAGGAGATGGGGTGGTGTCAGAGGTAGGGGTGAGGCGGGGCAGCTAAATAGCTCGCTGGTCACCACGTGAGCACACGAACGAAAACCTCCCGACCCACGGGAATGAGTCCAGAGGGTGAGTTGCGTGCTTTGTGCATTTGGGGGAGAGCTCCAACACTCAGCATAAGACGAAGGGTACACAAGACGAAAAGCACACGAACGCTGCTGGGGTGCTAGTATGGTGTGATCGGCGATACGCTTATTTGTGTCTACCCCCGCCCCCCGCCCCACAATACAAGGGAGGTGTCTGCTTAACGTTTGTTGTATATTAGTTTCTCGATTTTGGGGAGGACATCCAAGGGGAACTCTGTAGAGGGGGGTAGGACAGAGACACAAAAACACGGGCGAGGGTGTTCCCATTCGGGCGAGGCAAACAGGTCGGGCTGTGATGTCGCCACGCCCATCCAAGCAATCCCAAGACACGCCGTGTACCTGGCGGTCATCATGTGTCATGCGTCATGTGTCATGCATCACCCGAGGAGAAGACAGCACCGCGTGTGCTAGAGGAAAGCTATGCTACAGTACAAGAGAGGGCGAACACAAGGTCGGTTGGCCTCCAGCAGGTAAGCAAAACGCTCGCACATCTCGGGCTTCAATTTCGTTTCGTCCTCCGAAAAAAAAAGGAAAAAAACAACAACCGACACACGACAAAAAAAACTAAAATAAAAACACGGCGCAAATGCAAAACAGGCACACCCCGAACAAAACAAAGCGCCAACGCAACGCCTTGCTGTATGCACTGACTTGTATTGCTTGGTCCAGTCCTGCCGGCTGATGACCCCGTGCGGGTCTATGGTGATGATCCAGTTGTTATTTGTGTTGACGATGCGGCCGTCGTTGTCGGTGTACTCCTTCCCGAAGCTGCCCACCACCAGGGAGCCGTCCTTCTCCGTGGCCCACTCGAGCTTCATGCCCTTGTCCAGGTTGCCGTCCCCCTCGGGCAAGATGTACCTGACGAGGGAAGAGAACGTCAGGCGTGCAGACGTGCATGCATCGACATAGGTTGAGCGCGATTCATGGTTGGTGAAAGCGATCGTAAGGCGGTAGTTGCACTATTGTATCCTGCTGAAGACAGACAGGACTGGCTTCTTGTCGGCCAGCTGCTTTCCGCGAAGCGATCGATCTCACTCAACGAAGCGCCAAGACACAAGCACACACACAAAGCACGAAGGGGTCCCCTCTTCCGAAGCCCCTTCGACAACTTCGACCACCTTTGTTGTGCTCGTCACAAGTAACACATACATCAAGTCACCGTCAACAAGTGTGCTAGAAATGCTATTCAGGCGTGTATCAGCAGCGTCCCCAAACAGACCACACCTATTGGCCCTACCTCGTCCTCATCAGATACCGAGAAACATCCTCATCAAATGGACACTGGACAACTGAAGGGGTGGATATATGTCTGCCTCCTGGCGAGAGATGGCTGGGGTATCAATCTCGGGACCGTCTTCGCGAGAAATCAAGTTGATAAGTTTATGAGGAAATAGAAAAGGTACGGGATATGACCACCATAAAAAATACCCTAACGAAAACTCTCACCCAACTTCCCCGATTGCATGTCTTATGCAACATGTGTACTTAAAACGACAACCCTGCGAGGGCTACAATACTATAATAGTACTGCAATCTCGTATGGTTCTGCCAACAGCTCTTTACCTCGGAGCCATGTGTCGCTCCCCCTGCTCCTCCAGGATCTCGAAGACAATTCCCGTGCGGTCGTCCACCGTCAGCAGCGACCTGATACACACGTGGCGCACGACACAGGGTGCATGTGCACGTACGTCAGCATGAGTGGCACATCAAATCCGACTTTCTCTCGCGAGTGAGGAAATTTCACGCAACTTGGAGGAAACACCGTTTGTCGCCACAGCAAAGTTCTCCTGGTTTCATCAAAAGTTCCAGTGCCGGGTGTCCGCAGAATGAGCTATTGCGACCAACCTGGGTACTGCTGTCCACGTGATGTTTACATATTTACGTAAGACCAAGACTTCGCATATATAGGTCGTCGTGCTGCATGTCGCCCTACACGCAACGTCAAACATCCCCGAAGGTCATACTCGCCAACAGGTTGGTTCGTTCAAAAAGCCGCCCTCGTTGTCGGGCCAGCAGCAAAAACAACACCGTTTCTACCACGCGTCTCTAGAGACCCGTCCGGTCGCTTGCTGAGCTACCAAAAACATGTACCTGGTAACGTTTTCCCCAAACGTCAGTTTCAAGCAAAAAAATAAAATACACACGCCTCCCGACAGAGAACATTAATACCCACCCTCGGTAGTTGATGAGCTCGCTGAGCTCCATCCCCCGGCCTGCTTCGTTGTGTCCCGAGAAAAGGTCGGTGGCCTCCCCCATCTCCACCGAGAACTTCTTGGTAGCGGGGTCGCGGGTGAGCGCCGCCGCCTGCAACACGCTCCGGTACTGCTTGCCCTTGTCGTCCACCTTGGACTGGTAAGGTGTCGAGGGTGTCGCGGTAGCAGGAAGAGGGTTACGATAATTCGTTCGAAGGGGTCAGTGATGGACTGGACGTGTGTCAAGGTTTCAATGGTGTGGCGATTCAGTAAGACCGTTAAAGGAATCAAAGGGGTCAGTCATGGACTGGACGGGTGTGGAAATTTGAAGGGTGTGGTCAATCAAGCAAGAGCGTTACAAGATATTTGAAGGGGCCGGCAATGGTTTCTGAGAGGGTTGTCGTTGCGTCACATGTGAGTGGCCTAGAAGTGCCTGCCCTGAGCGGGCTCGACTTTGCCGCATCCCCCATTTCTTCCCAACCGCCCGCAGCGAAACAACGAACTCGTGCTCGCAGCTAGCACCAAACGTGCGGTCTTGTCTTCTCGGATGAGAAGCTGCGATCCGACCTTACGCAGACAAATATGGTACGTTACGAACAAATGTCTCTTACCACGCACGCCTGCAGATGCATCTCATGTTCGTTCAGCAATTCTACCGTCAGACCTTGAACATTCACCAACCACAGCGCGTTTCAAACAGAGTCAAGGCAGGATCCGATGCCTGTACCATACATGTGTTCATTCAGGCGTACCCTCTTTCCTCTCAATAGAAGCACTGTCAGACCTTCAACGCTCACCAACCAACACGCTTTATTAAGACCCTCATGAACGGATTTGAACCCACACCTTTCTCGCCATTATCCCAACGAAACTTTCAAGACCAAGGCGGCAAAAGCCTTGCATCGCATGTGCAGCAACTCTGAATAAAGCCTTCCATTCTCTACAGGTTTGACTCCTTGTGAAGCTGGCCGCGACCGAGTGGCCATACCTTCTTGTCCAGGTCCGAGATCAAAAGAATGTCCCACGTGTCCGGCTTGAAGGGCCCTCCCTCCGCCAGTGAGCTAGCCGTGGAGCCCCTGAGCTTGCCGCCGCCGCCGCCTGCGAACCTAGGCATCACTGCAGCAGCAGGGGGATGAGAGAGATAATAGGCAGAGGGAGTAATCGTCAGGAGACAGACCGACAGACAGCAGTGCGTGCGGAAAAGAAGCAGACATAGACCGCCTACTCATAGCCGTGCATGCCGTATTCGAAATGACCTCTCATCCCCACAACGTTGGGACGGAGCACGCCGGGTGTTCACGGGATAGGGCTAGCAAACCGCCACGCGCAAAGCGCCGTGAGGTATTCGGCGAGTCGCATGACTAGGGGGTACAGAAAAAAGACGGAGACAGAGGCAGCCGTAGAGGCAAGCAGGGTAGGGAGGGGGCCCTGTTGAAACCGCCGGAGGTAAAACCTTTCGCAGGGGTAGGTGCTGTCTGCAGAAGCTATGTAGTTGTTCATGGCATAGATGACTCGGGGGCTAAGACCACCCCATTCCAGACCGACCTTGTAGGATCTTCGTCACCAACCACAAAAGTCTTCCGGTTCTATTGAACGGGACGGAACGGCACTCTGATACCGGGCCGACACCGGTCCGGTCGCCCGGAAGAAGGACTCGCCTTTCTGTGGCGCTTGCTTTCCACATCTAAGACGGCAAGCACCATTCTGGGAAATGAAGCACGTATGCTTCGTGTTACTCTCTCAAAGCAGCCCAACTCTCCTGTTTTGTTTCACGAGTTCTGCCCAGTTTATTCTCTTCCCCCGTTGACAGAAAAAATAGTCTTGTTTCCGTCTCATGGCTCCAGATCTCCAGATACATGGAACACCCATCCGCGTGAGGCTGTGCTACAGAACAAAGAACAATTGATTGCACCCCAAGTTTCGCACGGAGACGGTGACATAGATAGCACGGCCGCCGGGGCGCGTGGAAAACGTGCGTGTTGTGAGCGCCCGCGCTTTCGTCCCAGCAAGGACAGTCTACACCTTCCTCGCACCAGCCGGGGAAACAAGGGACGGATTTACACAAAAGCAGTTTCGTTTCGCCGGTGTTAACCCCCTTACCACGCACAGAAAATTCGGCGGTCTTGCGAAATTTCTGAAATGTAAGAAAAAGAGCGAACGACGCCTGCTGATTGGATGGTGCAGAAGTTCCATCCCTGGGCGCAAGTGCAAAGCTGCCTTCCCACTTGAGCCGTCTCTTGTCTATAATCCCTATCAATTGTCCCCTCGATTCGAGGGGACACGAGGGGACAATTGATAGGGATTATAGACAGCAACTGGCAGGAGCGTGGTAAACGGGGCACGAAAAGGAGGTTTTCAAGACATTTCTCTAGAGGGAAAGCGAGACCTTCTAACTCAAGCCCTAGGGTGCTTGGTGCCTCCTATCAACGGTGGTCTAGGTACTTCTTCCGCGCTTGCCCCTAGTAGCGCCTTCCACCCAAGGGTAAACAGACGCGGCGCAACTTCGCTGTTGAACCGGCGGCGTAATCGCCCCGCGATTCGACCTGTTAATTACCCTCATACTCCTCCACTCTACAAGGCATCCATACTAGACTAGAGTCGTCCCTGTGTACCCTGGCACCCCCCTGGTCGAGTAGTGCAAAGGAGGAGACAATCATGCCAGTCTTCGCGAGGTAAAGCAGGTGAAGAAGATGGGGACAAAAGTGTCCCCAAAACGCGATCCAGCCCTAAAGGGGTTAATGGGAGGAACACCAATGTTTCTTCCTTTCTGACAGTCTTTTTTCTTTTTTCGGTCTGGCGAGCTGTCGACCTCGCCAATGACCCGGAAAATCGAGAAACAAGTTGCAGCTGTGTATGGATCCGGGTGTCTGCACATCACTCACCCATCCGTTTCGGCAGGGTCGACATGTGTGTTTTTTCGGCCATTGCGGCAAGATGTCGTCAGAATTCTCGGCGCAAGGTTGTCTGTCTCCGAGACACATCTCTTCCGTGAGAGAGAGCGTCTTGCGGGGAGATTCTGACGACTCTCGCTCCAACGACAACTGAAAAAAAAAGCTTGATGTCCTGACCTACTGTACCTACCGTACACAGTATCTCGGTGGCAGCCTGACAACTTTTACCTAAGGCCGGGCAGGTGGTTGTCGGAGACGTTCGCAAGACAGACAGACAGACTGCCCAATTAACAAAACTCTACTAAATGAGTACTGCCCAACCAAAAGGTCCCGCACATTGCTATCTAGAATTTGAGAAATTGATCTGGTGCGTATTTCGCTCTCTCACCGAAAATGCCGGCGACGATGAGCAGCACGACGAGCAGGATCGTCCACTTCGACCGCACGGCCCCGCCCCCCGCCCCCGAGCCCCCGAGAGCACCCGTCCTGCTGGGCGTGGAGAATGCCCCCCTCGGTGGCGGCCTGTTGACGAACATGCTGTCGCTCTCGCCCTCTCCTTCGCCGGCTTGCATCAATCAGTTTTTCCGCCGCTGAATCGAGTTTTTTGTGTAGCACGGCAGGCAAGCAGCACACGGGGGCGGATTGGTTCTCTGGTTCTCTACGTGCACCCACACCACTTCTGGTGAGGAAGAGAAAGCAGAAAAAATGTCCCGCAGCGGCGGCGTGTCTGGCTCCTTGTTGTCTTCGTCGGCTGGACTTGTCTGCAAACTCCTCCTCTTCCGTTACTCCCTCCCGTTAGCAACGGTTGTTTGTTGCCCGCTTACTGTTTTGGTGTGCTGGTCTGCTGCAAGACACAGCAGCAGCGAGCGGGAGTGCAAACATGCATATGATAGTAGACAGTGATACGCATATATGCATATATGCCATGCATATGCATATATGTCATTATGCATATGCATATGCATGTATTTTTGCAGAGTCAGGGCGGGTAGGCATAGATGGTCTTTCAGGACGGAAAAACATGTAGTGTCTGCAGTGCGCCCGTCATTCGAGCCGTGCTATTAAAAGGCGGCACCATCATGGCATTGATCACCACCGCAGCGCTCTCGTCTGGTGTGTAGCGGCTAAATAAATGGTAGTGGATTACACAGAGAAAGATAATACAGGGGTGGTCTTGCAAGATCCCACAAAACCCACGCTCTCGATCTCTCATACGCATACTGAACGCCATGTACATACTGCTGTAGCTTGGAGAGAAATGTGTTGTCGCAAGACTATGTAGATATCATTGCACGTATCGATTGGACGTCGCACCCTCTGGGTTGTGTAGTACTCGAGCTTCGGAGTTCAGCCTACATAGGAGGGTGTGCGACCACGCGATCATCATCTCCGGACATGAAATCATAAAAATAAAAAAACAAGGACATTTCGGCCGCAAAATTCCTCCGCCCTTTCGTGCGAATCTCGCGTGTCACGTGGCCTCTAAAATAGTACACTGCAGCAGCGTTCTCCAGGGACATACACCACCGCTTCCACTTCAGAGACGGGTTGGCGAGCAAGCCACGTGCCTCACAAGAGCTATCGCAGTACCAACAATGTACCGTGCACCGACACCTTTACAGTGGAGGTGGCCTTGTGTGTGCCACACGGAACATCGATCACCCCAAAATCGTGATCTTGTTCCCAAATGATTTTGCATTCGAACGGATTGATTCGAAAAGAAGTCATGCTCGCGCTCCTCTCTCGCACAGCCAGTTGGATGCCGATTGTCCATCAACATGAAAAATTCTACACCACGAATGAATCCCTCACTCTCACCTCGATGCCGCTGCCTTAGCTGCTCCACACACGACGAGCAACGCGGGTGGCGGGTGCGTGATTGGTTTCATCACACCAACCAACCTGGAGCGGACGAATAGGGGCTCCGCGAGTTTGTGTACCCTATGCATCATTACGTATCTCTCGTTGGGCGCCCAACCACCCCCAACAACCCCCAACCCCCTGACCACAGAAAACGCCTCTGCAGTAGCCGCCGGTTCGGGGTCATCGAAATTCCACCGCGTTTTCCGTTTTGTCCTTGTCCCGCCCTCTCCTCCTTTCGGCTCGTCTCCCTATAACCCATCGTAAGCGCCCAGGAGATCAAGTGCAAGTAGAAGCCGCCATACCTTCCACGCTTTTGCTGCGTGTACTTCCGAAGTTGTTAGGCTTCCGTAATCGAACTGTCCTGGGATAAAATGGCCCAGGACCACGAAATGCTCCAACTGCTGTTGAGATCCGGAGCGATGTGGGCATCCAGCCTCAACATTCCTTGGTTCCTTGCCGGAGCCGGCGTAGGCGTACCGGCTGCCGTGGGGACTGTGACCACCGGAAACAGCAAGCTTTTGAGTCTGGTGAGTGCGTGCTGCGTGTCTTGTGCTTGTAAGGTGTGTGTGTATTAATGTACTTGATGGGTGGTACGAACGCCCACGGCGGTTGCACGAACAATAAACACAAAAAACACTCGTCACAAGCCTTTCGATGTCCCATCATCCCCACTGTGTTTAGATCCCGCACAGCTGTATCAGCACGCCATGGGTACAGAGGAAAGCCTGACAGTTCCAATCGCGTCGCTCAGTGATGCGGCCGTTTGTGGCGTGGCTCCCTGAACCAGTTAAGCAACTATTACGAAGTACCTTTTTGGTGTCTCGGGTGAATACTTGCAATGCTGTAAGCTGGGATATGCGACCACGGAAGGCGCCCGCGTCAGTTATGGTCCAGAACGGATGTTGGAAGGCACTGAGCAGAGACCGGAATGCTATTCTATTGCGAAGACACAGCAACAACAACGAGCGTCGCCGATGTGTGATTCGGCAACCTGTGTCAGCGATCTTCACCTCCCAACAAGGGCAACGCTGCCTTGGTTTGGTACAATCACCGCCTGCCATCTACCGTTGCCAAACGGTAAAACGATTGTTGTTCGTTGTTGTTTTTCTTCACATTAAACTCGTGTCAGTTGCTAATCCCAAAATCTAGCGAAGACTCGGCCCGTGGTCACAAAAATACTAAAGCCATCAGAAGATCTAAAGAACACGCACACTATTAGCAAGAAAAGGGTACACAAGCCCGAGGAGGTACACCTACAATCCCGGCAGCACGTTTGCGTGCTCACAACTGAACTACACGCCCACACACTACAATTCGACTACAGCAGGCGGCATCACCCCCCTTGTCCCGCACTTCACCAAAATGAATGTTTGTCGACTACAGCGTACTGCTGTCTGAAGTGCTGCCTGTACAAAAATAACACCATGGTGTATGGTGCACAACAAGCTCGGGGCATGCAGCTGCTGTCTGAAGTGCTGTCAGAATGGGTCCGTGGACATACAATGAAGAACAACCAACCAAAGCCATCATTGCAATTGACAATCGCCCGAATCTATCCAGAACATCTGTGTTAGACACAGCAGTGTAAACATCGACACTGACTAGGAATCGTTCCACATTGAAGGGGTCTTCCACGATGCAGGTACACAATTAAGGCACCCGGGTTATCGGCGCCATCTCTGCCGCGTCTCTCTACAAAACCAGTGACGTCATCACATATATCCAACACTTATTTTCAGGAAAAAAACGGAAAATATTTGACAACACAAGAGATGTTAGTCCGTGCGACACGGTTCGATGCCGTCCGCATGCTCCCGTTCCGCTGCTGCTCCGGTGCCGCTGCTCCGGTGCCGCTGCTCCGGTGTCGCTGTGGCCAGTCCTAGCACGACCAAACTCGACCCGCTCCGCTTCATACACGCTCTCGTTGCTGTCCTTCCCAGTCGGTTCCTCGCTTTCTCCCTCGTTGCACTTAGGATTCTTGGTCTGAAAATTCTCACGCCGAAGGGTCAACCAGTCCAGTCAGCTCGTCACCACCTGTCCCCTCCTCATTTGATGGCAAAACCAGGTTACTGAGACAGTACAGCTCCCTCTAGCAAACATAGGGCCGTGTACATAGTGCCCGTCCACCTTTCTGATGGCGTCTGCCTCCGCGCACAAAGATGAGATGGGCATTGCTGCCTGCACCGACGGCCTCGAGGCCCGCGCATCTGCACCTTGTTACCTGACGCACCAGTGCCGACCCAACTCCACCACTACGCACGCCTCGCGGCGGGTGCGCCGTAGCAAGAAGGTATCGGTCCCTTGAGGGTGAGTCTAGCCCTGCTCGCTAGAAAGACCCCCCCCCCTCGCTTTGGGTCATGCCCAAGCAAAACCTTCCAAAACGATATGTCGCGCGAGGAGGAATCTCGGGGACGAGTTCTCGGGTGTTGGGTGTGGGCGCGTTTCCCCCCCAAAAGCATGAAATATTTGCAGGTGTTACTGTTTTCTCCAAGTAGAAGTGAAGGCTGTGCACAATATTATTGCTCCAAACAGCAGCATGGCGAACCCGTAGCACACAGCCCTGTACAGCAGTAGTTCGAACTGAGGGGCGACCGCTGTCTGTGTTTGTTCGTCCCAAAACAACAAAAGAACCACGCGGATAGGGAACCTTCTCTGTCACATCGTTGCCGTCGACTGGGCGCTTTCATTTTCCACTCTATGGAAATATATTTCAAGGTGCTGCCTGGTCTTTTTTTTTTCTCTTGCGCATGATCCGCGTTTCGTTTGCCAAACAAACACCGCCCCTTACGCCCCTACATACCCTTGTGCCCCCCCCGTCATATTTTCTTTTGCTCTCTCCTCCTACTCACCTACGGTTGCTGGTGGTCGCCTGCCAACCCGGCCGACCAACACCAACCGCAATGCATCTTCTTATCTTGCGCTATTGTTACTCAGGCCACAACCTTGGGGGGCGTGTTGGGCGGCGTCGCGGCCGACCGACTTTCGACCACGATTTCGGAGTAAGTGGGTCACACACGGCGTGAATTATAGTGATGGTCGCTGGTCCTGTTGTACTGTAGAATTGGTGCACACCACCATGTCGAAGCGGGGCTCACGTTCTGACGTGCAGCACCCAACAGGAACTTCTCTTAACACCTGCTTATGTTTTGGTCGTTACGTATTTGTCCTTTCCGAACATCGTAGCTTGCACTCTGGAGCCCTCAATAAGACCAACTTCGGCCCTCGGTTTCTTCCGGATTCGATTATTGATAGCACCCAATTCGTGTTGATCTCTAACTTCGCTCATCCCTTTCCCACAGGAGCTTAGCGGGCAACGATGTCGGCGGCGGCGGCGGCGGCGGCTGCGAGTTCACCTGCTACGACGTCCTCACGAAGGGCGTGGGCCCGGCCTGCCTCCTGCTCGTCGTGCTCAGCAGGAGCATCCGCTCGGAGCCCTCAGTGGCCGTCAAGCCTGCCGCCGCCGTCGCCCTCGCTGCCCTCCTCCTGGAGCCCCTCTTCAGCGCCTACGTCCTCGGGGGCGGGGGCGCCAGCAACAGCACCGTCGCCCCTGCTGCCGCTGCCGCTGCCGCTGCCGCTACCCGGTCCGGCTTGGCCCGCTTGCTCCTGCTCCGCGACGTTCCGCACCGCGTCTTGGGTCAGGTCGGCGGCGGCGGGGGGCGGAGGAGGAGCGCCGCGGCAGCGGCGACGGCGGCTTCGGCTTCGGCGGCGGCTTCGGCGGCGGCGGCGCTGGTGGCCCGGGCGCGCTGGCTGACGGCGGGCGCGCAGCTGGTGCTCTGGGCGGCCGTGGTCCTGGCCTACGCCAACGTGTCCCTGCGGCTCTCCCGGGGTCCCCCCGGGAAGACGGTGGGCGGTTACATGTCCGCCCTACGCTCCCTCGCGGCCAAGAAGCGCGGCACCGGCGGCTGGGTGAGGATAGACCAGTGGGGCACCGGCGGGGGCGGGGGGGGCGGCGGTTGTGACGGAAGCGGCGGCGGCGGCGGGGGGGCGCGGGCGAATGGCTTGCTCGGGTCTCTGTACGAGACGCTGATGGGTGGGGGAGGGTGGGGGGGAGGCGGCCGCATCTGCCCCGAGGCTATGGCGGTGAGTCGGTAACCATGAGCGTCACACTTGTCTTGTGGAATTATAGTTGTCCTTTTATGCCTGCAGCCTCCCTCTCTCCCCGAGCGTGTGCTGGACAATAATGGCACTGATCCAGCGGTGCTGTCCCATATAGGTACGTAGGGTCACTTATATATATATATATATAGGGGATGCTGTTCAGGTGCAGTGCTACCCAAAATTGCTGCAGGGACTATGGCCCCGCCTATGTGTCTTGCGTGGCGTCGCGTGCGGTTCCGGAAGAGTTTTAACGGCTGCTCCTGGGCTCTTGGTATGCTTGGATACCATCCCGACACACGTCAAAGACAACCAGAACAATCGATGTCCCAAGAGTTTCCAATGCGAAAAGAGATTTAAAAGTTTTGATGCAATTATTCAAACCACATGGTGCTCTCCTGCCCGTCTTCTCGGCACGCCCTTGTCCGCTTGTTTGCCTGCCAACTGTCGAAAACAACGACAGCTTTGTCAGCACCAGAAGAGTTACGATGGCCCCCCGTTCGAACGGGGTGAGGTAACCGTCCGCAGCATCTACTGCTCCGGACTCGACGCCTCCATCACAGGCCGGCCTCCCTCCAACGGCAACAGCGTCGGCGGCGTCGGCGTCGGCGGCGCGAACGGCGCCGGCGCCGGCGGTGGTTTCGCCGGAGGGGCTGATGGCGGCGGCGGCGGACTGATCGCCGGGGGTTCGTCTCGGCCGTTTTACGTGACGGTATCGCTGGGCGGCTTGACGGCGAAGACGTCTGCACGGCAGGGGTTCTCTCCGACGTTCACCGAGGTGTTTCCTTTGGGATGCGACTGTCCGATCAGGGGGGCGTATCTCACCATTGCCGTTGTCGACAGGTGAGCAAGAAGAAAATGATGGAAAGATGTTGGGGTTAGTGTTGGTGATGGTGGCGGCGGTGGTGGAAAGATGGGATAACAGAGAGAGGGAGGGAAGGAGAGAGGGGAGAGAGAGAGAGAGAGAGACAGACAGACAGACAGACAGAGATAAATTGCATGCCGCGAAGGGGAGCATTCCAAATGGATTGTACACCACTCACAGTTATTATTGATGGCCGTTTGTTTGTCTCGGTGGACGGAGGAGCTCCTGGTTGTCGTGTGAATATTTCAGCCGAGCCGTAAATTGTTCCACCAACACAGCTGCTTCGTGACACCACCATCTCCCTTGAACCTAATCCCCCCCCTTTTCCCCACCGCCAACCCAACTACCCAGCTTCGAAACAGGCCGCAGCGGACGCGGTGACCGCGTTGTTGGCGAGGTACATCTCCCCCTTGAGGCGGCGCAACTAGTTCCCGGGACGTCCGGCCTCGATGACAACGCTGACATGTTTTCCTCCTCGTCGTCCAGCGGCGGTTGGGACGGGGGCAGCGGGCCCGCCTACCGCCTCCGCGGGGACTGGGAGCTGCAGGGCGCTCTGGGAGGACCGCTCTGCGGTGCCAGGGTGGGGGCGGACATCATGGTGCACGGCCCGCCGTCGCCGAGCTCGGCCGCTGGCCGGCTGAGGAGGAGGAGGAGGGAGTCGGTCGGGTGGTACGCTCGGTGAGATTGGAAGACGAACGTACACAAACATTCAGCTCAGGCGAGCAGCCTACCGCCTCCGCGGGGACTGGGAGCTGCAGGGCGCTCTGGGAGGACCGCTCTGCGGTGCCAGGGTGGGGGCGGACATCATGGTGCACGGCCCGCCGTCGCCGAGCTCGGCCGCTGGCCGGCTGAGGAGGAGGAGGAGGGAGTCGGTCGGGTGGTACGCTCGGTGAGATTGGAAGACGAACGTACACAAACATTCAGCTCAGGCGAGCAGGAGGAGGAAGGAGTCGGAGGGGTGGTAGCTGCGCTCGGTGAGATAGGTAGACGTACGTCCTCGAGAACTCGGCTCATTCCGCCAGAGGGAAGGCTGAAGAAGACGGCTAGGAAGTCGGTTTGAGTAGAAGTAGGCCATCGTCTACACAATGGACTGGACTGAAGGCAAGTGGGGGCAGGGAGAGGAAGCTGTTTATGGTCTCGGGCCTTTGCCTGTGTGGCCGGACGAGGAGAGACTGTTGTCGAGAAGGAGGAAACGGGAAAAGAAGGAGAGGAGGCCGGACAAATTCGGGGCTAGCAGGACTTGGAGAAGAAAGGGCGTCCGTCTGGTGGGGGGTGCGACACTCGTAGGTGCTAGGCTAGGCTCCATGCACTCGACTCAAGCCGGTCGATTAAGATTCGCCTGGTTATTGAAGCAGATAAGAGGGTTTGTGCCAGTTTTTGGCTAGACCAGACCAATTGAAAGAAGGCGTTGTGGTTTGTTGATGATGCCGAGGCTGCGTATCTATCCTGACCCTTGATGGCTGGTGGTTGGCAACGCCTTGAACTAAGGCGACGTCAAACATCGCTGGGTGCCATCGATCAGAGTTGTGTGTTGTGTGTTTGGTGGTTGTGAAGAATGACCGTGTACATTATCTGGATCTCGGTTGAAGTTATGTAGATAGATACGTGTGATGAAAGCGATGCGTGGCTGGCGGGGGCGGCGGCGAGAGAGTGATAGCGGACTCCGAAAGATGCAAGCCGACCAACGTTGTCCAAAGCATGCGTGATGCATATGTAGTGCAGGGTTTGAAGGAGAGCGTGTACAAAGACCTGGTGTCCTGATGCGATTGAACAACCCCCAAAATTAGTGTCTGCATGTGAGGTGCACGTGCGACATGTTGGGGTCGCATGTACTGGGATGCACGAAGAAAGTGAAGCCGATGCCTCTTGGATGAAAATCAAATCAGTCATGCAGTATTTATTGCGCGGAGTAACAAGAATGGTTGTGCTTTTTTCTTTTTTCGAAGCCCATTTTTTCACTTGTTTTTAGCACGCCCTCCCTTCAAGGTCCTGTTTGGATACCTAACGAAGGTATGAATGTGTTTCTTCGTTCGTGAACCCTTGTGGGTGATGGTGTAAGTAGGTGTAAGGAGGGACTTGGTGTGTGCCGCCGAGAAGGATGTGCCTATGAGTAGCAGCATTGCTGTAGAGACGCGCTGTTTGCTTTCATTTGCTTGCTGCTTTCGGGTACGCCGTGCGTGAGGCGGAAGGGACATTCTGGCGGCATGTCTTGGTTCAGTCCAAGCAGCCCAGAGCGAGACCGTGTTTCGACTGCCCGGACCCCAGCCTTGAGCGGCATTTTGGGCCCACCTCACTTTCGTACGGCCCTTGCTAGAGTTGGTGTAGTTGTGAGCAGAGGAAAAGTATCGGACGTACAATGGTTGCAAGGAGCAATGAATCGAGCAATCCGTTGGTGAGGAACAGATACACAACATGGCTTGCTTTCTATGGACAGGATCAACTCATGACACGGCACCCCTGGCAGAGTGTTTTTTTGCATGTGGTACTGTCGCCCTATATAGCTGCGGAATGTAACCCAGTTGCACACTCCAGTACATAGTTGAAACAGGATCATGGTTGCTGCAGTGGTGCTTGAGTCGTCCGTCTCCCTGCCCTTGTTTCCTGGAGCTGAGACAAACAGGTTGGTTCTAGCTTTTTGCTTTGCGTTCGGATAGAAGGGCAGTCACCAAAATTTCATGCTGTAGCTGGCGCTTCCGCTGAATATGCTTTCGCCCGACTCAATCTCTCGATCTTGGTCGGCCTCATGCGATCACAGTTCACAGTGGCCCTGCGGTAACGCCCCCCCCACTTGGAAGGAAACACAAGCCACCCACGCTCAGGTCGACTTTCTTGTGCGAGACAAACGAGCATTGATTGCGTCTGATGTGGGTCTACATAAGACAATCAATAGGTATTGCGCGCACTATACAGTGTCATCGATGTATATTCTCGCCTTCGTGGATCCCTGATCCCCTCCCCAGAAGAGACAGCAGGGGAGTATCCAAACCCCACACCCAGGTTGATCCATTAATTCACACCTACTGACGCAATAAATGCAAAAGTACAGCCAAAGCCAATAGATTGTGGCATACGATGGCTCCAAGTGGCTGGGGGTAGGTGGGGCAGCTCTCGCTTCGATCTGGTGATTTTTCGATTTGGTGAGTCATTGTGATTCATTGTGTCAGACGCCATACCTCGCAGAAGCATGCGCATGCTCATTCACCTTGCAATGCGACACGCACGTCAACCAGATATTTTGGGTTCGATGGTCTTGAGCACCACAACGTTCACCTTTCCACTACCCTCTCACGCCTCTGCGTTCATTCGCTTACGTCTCGCTAGAAGACCTCATTCAGAAGACTTACGTCGGACGGATGTTTCCCGCCCCCTCCGATCGATGTCGACAGCGCTTTTTCACTCCAAAGCAGAAAGTGGTAGGGACCTGCAAACGTTTCTGGGAGACCAGGAGAGTCCCAATCGACTCTCAACCATAGTAGCCAGATATCCAGGTTTGTTTCAAGAACGGATGTCCGACGAGTGCCGGACCCGTCGAAAACTGCGTCGATAGGCGCGGGAGGTGGGCTAGGGTTAGGCCCTACCAAAAAACTGTGTTGCAGATTAGATTCAACTCCTATCTGCCACCTGTGTGGAAGGTCTCTTATCAAGGTACGGGTCTGCGATCGATACGGAGTATGTTTGGTCTGTGTAAGACTCACATGGTCTCGTCACAAGTTAGACGCCCTGCAGCTTGTCGACAAATGCTTCTACACTTGACTTGCGGCAACACTTGTTCCTTGGGTGGCAGTTTTATGTACATGTAGTTTGGGTGTGGTCCAACATTCGCTGGCCGCCACTGCTGACACTCTCGAAGTACTGCGATACTGCTGTAGTCCAGCAACGAGAGTCTGTCTGTGTTTCGTATGCATACAATGCTGTCAACCATGGTCGCATGCAGCACAGCGTGCCTTCCGATAGATGCATTATACTACAGTATGTCCCGCTGCAGGATTTCAACATGCGACAGGGCCCCTGACATGCACTGTGTCAAGTGATCAACGCTTCGACCCGCATCTCATCCGTCCTTTGAAAGCGAGCAGGTAGTCTCTGCTGGGGTAGAACGCAAGTCATGAATTGACCTCCTGCGCCATGCAGACAAGAACCGGAAGTTCAAAAATTGGTTTGAGAGGCATTTTCCCCCAAACATTCTCTCGTCCCCCCCGTCTCTCCCTCGTGCTGCTTCCCCCCTCCCGTCTCACTCTCATTCGTCCCTCCACTCCATCCACACTCTCTCCCCAGACACTCAGCCTGCGACAACTAGTTTCGCCTGCAATAATCTCTGTCCTAGAGAGAGAAAGAAAACTCCAGCGACCGCAACTCACTCCTTGCATTTCAAGTACCAAGAGGTCATCATGGACTTCACTCAAGGCGTCAAGAAATCCCTTCCTCTAGATGCCGCGTCGCTTCCATCAGCATTGGCCTCGTATTTCTCCTCCACAGGCACCTGACTTCGTCGCATCCCGTCTTGTTACACCTGCTGCCGGCGTGGAGGTCATCTCACTCAAGAACAGGAGGAGAAGCCAGCGCCTATCTAGCCGCCGCATGAAGACCTGCGCACGTGTCGGTGAGGGTTGGCCTGGAATGTCACGGACGGGTGATTTGGCACCTTCCAAGGGTGTGAAGAGGAGCAGTGGTGTGATACTTGCCTACATATGAAAACTACTATTGCTGCTACTGGTGGGGTCTACGGGAGCCTTGCAGCCGCGATGGTGTGAATCTTCACTTCTCTCCTGGACTGTCAGAATCTCTTTGGTGTGAGGGTTCGGCCGGGGAAAGTTCAGCTGAGTCAACGAGCCCTGGCATAGCGCATCGAACATGCCAGGATGTACGCTGCTCCCAATGTACACAACTGTTGATGCTGATCCCCGATACCCCCGAAGGCATCCTTGACACACACCATTGTCCATCACACGAAACATCTCTCCCTCACTGTGATTTCCGATGCGGCGCAATTTCCGGTGTAATTTTCTCTTCGTACACCCTCAAGCACTCACGAACTCTCCAGACGGTCAGCGATGCTTTCCCATGCTACATTTTAAGCGGTATGCACCCAACGCGGCGATTCAAGCATGAAATGCAGAGTTAATGGGTCATGTCCTGTGCGCAGTTACCGGTGCTCATCGGTGGAGCAGCAGAATCATGGACCACCTCCACTTTCTGTCCAACAGCTAGCGGCAGTGAAAAACAGAACCGTGCCACATTTCATACGCATTCAGGCGGACCAGGTGTAGACGGTTCAGAAAGAAGAGACGACAATGCTGACATCGCCACCGACAGCAGAACAACAACGCAGCCTCTCCTCTCGGCCGCCTTGAGGGTTGTTCTTCTCTCCGAATTGGTACCCCTCATGATCATCAAGCAGCTACAACTGGCCTCTTCATCGGTCTGCGGCGACTATCGCGAGTTGACCGAATTCCACGTCAACTTGAACTCCTGGACTCCCCGGCGCCTTTGGACAGCTAGCCGAGACGCACGTGGCCAACGACGCAGCCGAAAAGCGGCAGGAGTCCCCGGGGTACCTCCCGTGCTCGTGAGGCAGCTGACACTGAGTGACTGCTTCAACCCAAAGGTGACCGGCATGCGCTGGCCCGAACGATTGAGGGAGATTGCCTTCGGCACGCAATTCGACAACAGCCTTAGCGGCGTCGAGTGGCCACGGACGCTGGCGCACTTCCGTTTCGGGTGCTCATTCGACCAGCCGCTAGTCAGAGTGGGGTTTCCCGAAGGTGTGAAGAGCCTGGCCTTCGGGTGCGGTCGCTCGGGCTCGGTGAGGCCTTTGACCAGCCGTTGGACGGGGTGGAGTTTCCCGATGGACAGCAGACACTTGCTCTTGGTGGTGTCTTCGACCAGCCGTTGTGTGGAGTGAAGTGGCCGGTAGGTCTCGAGAGACTGGCGTTGGGCAGAGAGTTCAACCAGCCCATCAGTGATGTATCGTGGCCTCAGAGACTTCGCCAGATCACGTTCAGCCAAGATTTTGACCGCCCGATCGAGTCGGTGGCGTTCCCGTCCTCTGTGTAATGGTTGGAGTTCGGGGCGAACTTCAACCAAGTGGGTGTTGCGAAGTGAAAGATTGGGAAAAAGCATGATACCATGTACAGCTTGTCTTGGAAAAGGTAGTGTAGTTTATGATTAACAATGGTTGGGCCTGCTTCGTGTGCGGAAAATTGATGGATTGGTTCCTCAGCGGCGATCTCTACCTCTGCCCACGTGACAGCTTGCCAGCATTTCTATTCTTCTGCTGACTGCGGCTGTGATCGTCTCATTTGCCTGCCGGTATTCTCGCCTCGTTGTTGTTTCTCCTACTCCTGCTCTTCTTGTGCGTGGTTTTCTTTCGTGGACGTGCAGGATGTTGGCGGTGTCAAGTGGCCCGCAGATCTCGAGTACCTCAAGTTCGGCTGCGGGTTCAACAAGACCTTGTAGCACACACGGCTTCCCCGTGGACTAGCAGTGTTGAAGTGGTGCTGCCTGTGGGACCACTCTCTTGCTCTAGTAGACTTGCCCCGAGTCTTTGAAACTCCTGCGCCTAAGCGATGGACTCGATCAGCCGCTAGAGGAGATTCGCTTTCCTCCTAGCCTCGCCAATCTGTACCTTGGCGACAACTTCGGCCAGCCGCTGCACGAAGTGAACTGGCCGGTCAACCTGAAGGCGCTGTACTTGGGAGATTTCGTTCGATTACCCGCTTGACAAAAAAAAGTGGCCGGAGCGGCTGGAGTCCCTCTTCTTGGGGCAGAGCTTCTCCGAGGACCTTGACTATCGATGTGCCGGCGAGCTTGACGATCCAAGTTATTGGCGGCTCGCCCGAGGATACCGAGGACGTGGAATGGCTTTTTTGGGCAGTTCTCGGGGGATAATTGGGAGATGATCAATTTATAGAGCGGTGATGATCACCATTTTTGGACCGCGCGGGCGAGGGTTCGGCTATGAACGAAAGTTCCACCCACGGATACTGGTCTGAGAAGCTGAAGCTAAAGCTTCCGACCATTTTCCCATCGTTTTGGCTCGTTCCGAGTTCTATATACAGTAGGCATCACACGAATCTCAGGTTAGCTCTTCGCCCACCCTGGGAATCATCCAGAGGTGGCATATCCAGTTTGTGCGACCTTCCGCTTGGCATGCCACCCCCTATACTATGCCGAAAATGAAATGAATCTGCTGATTACTGCCACTTTCCATATTTATTTTCGCATACCACTGCTGGTGAATCCTTTCCCACCCAAAAATGGCTTGCCGGGGCCCGTCTCTCCCAGTCTCAGATGGTCCTTTTCCCACCCTGGGCGCAATCGAGAGGTGGAATTTATCCGCTTTAAAGGACCCTTTGCTTGTTATGCCACCCCCTGTGTCGAAAATCATAAAGGCCGCATCGTTTAGGTGGGGGGTCGCAAATCATGACCCCTCCCTAGATTTGAGCAGCTATTGCCCAGGGTGGACGAAAAGCCGAGCTGAGATGGTGAGATGCCCAGTTCAACTCGAAATGCACCAAAACTGTGTGAAAAAGTCTCGCAAAACATTTTCAGTACATCTATAGATGAGAGTACGCATCGACGCGGTGTGCCTTTCTACAACCCACACCTAATGAAGAGGCGTTTGTTCGCCTTCGAAGAAGCTATGACGAACCGCAACACCGAAACAGCTACGAGGGCTACCTTTTCGTTGGGGGGTTTCGGTAGATGTCGCCCTTGGCGAAACATGACAGAAGAAGCATCACGAACACGCGGGAAGGAAGGCCAAGTAGGTATCGTGTTCGGCACGGAGGCGGTATATTACTGTTGGAGACACGGTCGATGACGTCGGTGTCGCCGGAGAGGGCAAGAATGTGATAGCCCCAGCAGTGTTCTGGTATCCCCATTTGTTCTTTTTTACCGCTGCCGCGATGAAGGCTGTTTATCATTCACTCGGCACGGAGCCTTTTGTGGTTGTCGTTCTTTTCGGTAAATTCATCACACATTAAAAAAATCACAGATGTAAACATATCTGTGGGGTGATGGAGAGGCGTTGACCACCATGGACGACGATGACAGGAAATTTCATGCCGAGTAAATGGACAAGACAACAACGTTCATCATGGCGGTGGAAAGAAGAGATGGGCCAGAACTGCTGGGGCTATCACACTCTTGCCCTCTTCAGCGACGCCAAGGCCATCGACTGAATCTCAAACACCTCTGTGCCAAACACGATCTTTACCTGTCCTCCCCTCCCGCACTTCCTTTTTTACTCCTCTACAAGCGCAAGTCTCCGGGCACGTCGAAGGGACAGGGGAAGAACGGCAAGCTCCCCCGCCGTTCCGTGCCCGCACAACTCTAGGATGACGACGACGACCGCAGTAGCGACTCTGCTCCCAACGGCGACGAAGACGATGACGACAAGGACGACGACAACAATGGCGAATTCACTCCCGGTAGCGGAGACAGCGACGACGACGAAGACCACGGCAACAACGAAAACAACAGCGAATTCACTTCCCACAGCGGAGAGAGCGACGAGTAGACGACCGTGGCGGATGCTACGGTAGGGGGGTGAACGTTTGGGGTGAAATCTCACACGCTTGTGAAAACATGCAATGTAGCCCAATTTCGGTGACCGTACGGCGAAAGAGGGACGCGGCCACCAGGTTCACCTGGAGTGTGTCTCCCCGAAAAGAGTATAATGAAGTGACGCCCCCATCCTAGCATCACTCGGCAACGAGACGACAACGACCGCGACATCGAATCCATCGACGACGCCGACAACGAAGAACATGACGAAAAAAATGACGGCGAAAACGATAGCGAAAAATATTGTTCGTGAAAGCGATGGTATCTGTTCGTGTTCCTCGCAATGGGTCTCTTTTGGAAACAATTACACAAACCACACTTGTCTTCTCTGTTCTTCCGGGTATGAAGATAGAAAGCAAGAAAACAAAAATCGTCTGCTTCAGACCTGCTTAGTTATGCGGTGGGAATGTACCCTGTACCTCATGTTTGCCAATACTCTAAGGCCAAAAGGAAACGAGCTTCCACGGTCACGAACAGTACAGCTATGACGATGGTGCTTGCGCTGGGATGTGCCCTAAAAAACGCTGCCGGGCCGTCGTCGTCGTTGTTGTTGCTTTTCCGTTATCAATCGTTGGGCCTCTGCTGCGTACTTTCTATCACTCGTAGACGTCCAAAGATTTTGCGGACGCCTTCCGTCGTCATAGGTTCAATAATCCAAAGGGGATAAACTGCGTACACATATACGAAGACCAGGCAATAATGGACCCAAAACAATCAACCCACACCCGCGAACAACATAGAATAAAATATACAAAAAAGAGAAAAAATATAGGAGAAAAAAAAAAGAAAACAAAGGTCCCAGACAATCGGACACCTCCGAAGGTTGTGTTCGAAAAACGGGGAAAGGCCACCGTTGTTCCTTGTGTGCGTAGGGAACGTGCAACAAGCTGAACGCGTGCGGAGGGTTTGCAAACTACCGTACTACACTGTAGCATCTGTCAAGGGGGGAGCATCGAAAAAAAAAAACGTCGAGGTAGGGTGGTACGTCCCTTCCACCACGTATCGCCAACTAGAAATCCGCTATCGATCACACAGCGTGCTTGCAATGCGACGCACTAGCACTGTCGATCGAATGAATGATACGCCATTGGTGGGCGTCTCTAGCCCTGTCTATCGCCGGTCCGCGTGGTTATTCTGCTTACAAGGCGGCCTTTGATGATCTCTGCACAACATGTCGACTACAGGAAAATACACCCCCCCAACAAGCAGAGAAACCCGGGCAATTGGAACGGTAGACACCATGGCCCTTAAACCCGCATCTCCCTACCCCCCACGCCGAGAGCCGAACCTCCGAGTGCAGGGTTCCAAAGGACACAATTTCAGATGATCATTCCTTTGAAACAGAAATCTGCTCTTCCCCAAGCACTGTTGAGCAGGATGGCAATCACGTCGCAATTCCCCTCGGCCACAACGAGTGGCTAACAGCGAGAGGCCCGGGGACACGCTCAGCCGAGCTAGTCAGGGCGGCATCACCACAACAAAACAAAAGGTTTTTGACGCATAGGGCCCGAAAAAAACCTCTAGCCTCCGCCCTTCCTAACACTGAAATGCCGTAAAGGTCGTTCTGGGCTCAAATGGAGGACGACGGGCTCAATCTTGATCGCTCCCGCGTGGAAGGTTGCGGTTAGACTTCGCTTGGGTCACGCGGAGTACCTGGCTCCTGGCAGGGGTAATTTGGTTGATTCCCCCCACCTCACGCAAGGGCGATCAAACGAAAGCTCTACGACACGAGAAGCACGACACAAAAAGGGCAAAACCCACACAACACCTTCCGCACTTGCAGATAAACGCACACTCCGGTGGATGCGAATGCCGGGCCTTCGTCGAGCTCTACCCCGCTGAGCTTCTAGCGAGGGGTTCAGCGATTTCTGCTTTGAAGCTCCTCGTTCAGGTTGAATCCCAGCCTAGCACACAACAACACACACCCTAGACAAACAACGCACTTGGATATGTATCCTTCTTGGTATGCATGCAGAAAAACAAAATCGATTGCAACGGCAGCAAATAGCGGCAGGCTTTGGCCGTCCAGGCACCCCGAAACACTCGATAGGCTTGCTGCCAACTTGCGCTACTATGCAATGGCTCATCGCGAAATACGCACCGCCTCCGTCAGAAGAATGGGCTCCAGCAGAGAACGCTCGGATTCAGCATCACTCGCCACGAGGCTGTGTAGACTGCCATGTACATCATGCACAATCGAACACCGACGGCAGCACACACGCAGAATATACTATAAAATGTAGGGAGAGAGATATCATTCGAAGTCCAGATACAGGCCCATCCACGCCTCCTCCTTGCCTTCCAGTCGAACCAGGAGGAAGCTCATGACGATATCGCGACCGTTGTTGAGGTCCCCACCCAACACTTGTTCACTCCGACCCTCTGGCACCCTCTCAAAAAAAACAGCGAACACACCACAAGATCCCATTCTATTTGCTCTCTGGCGCATGCTTGGAAACATTCTCATCAACTCACAAAGAGCACCCGGACCATGTGATTACTTTGCGGTGGTGATGCTGTGCGGGAAGGAGCTCTCAGACGCCAACGATCTTCTGCAGTGCGAACGCGTTCATCAGAGAACGCTTGGCACGCTAGAATGTCATCGTAGGGTCCAAGAGCCAACGTTTTACTGCGCAGGTGGCCCCGGTCGCCAGCGCCTACTTGCGCAGCTGCGGTGCGTTCGTTGAAGGCCGTGGCCGACAATCCACCTATATTGCCTGTCCGTGGCTGGCGTTCAATGCCTTCAGCGCTTTCGAAGAGGCTACCGTGTCCTCATGCTCCTCCCCGAGCGCGTTCCGCCGAATGGCTAGGGCTCGCTCCAAGAGCGGATTCGCCTCGGCGTGATTCCCCTGCAGAAGGCGGCGCACGAGGGAGAAGCGAAGCGGGGCCCGTGTCGGTGGATCCTATGGGCCTCGAAGCGTATGCATACGTGAATGAATAACTATCGACCGAGAAACGACTCACCCCGGAGGGACGTGGAGGGGGAGGCAAGGAAGGGAGGCAGGTGATGACGACGGTGTTACTGCCAGTCTCCGAGGCTTGGAAGGGGTTTCGACTTGCCAGATACCTCGAGGGGAGTCTCTACAAACCATGTAAGAGGTACGCGTTCCCATGTGCCGACCCCCTCCGAAATGGCTCGACATGGGTATGCATGCCGCTGCTCAATATCACAGGATCGATCAAATCGCTTCAAGAACCAAAACGGAACGACCCAAAAAATACAGCGCATCTTGGAAGAATCCTCAAACTCTCGTCGGTATGTCGGGGACTTAAGCGGACGGGTGCTTGAAGGGAAATATATTGCATTGGGGGGGTTTCATGAACGGAATGTGATCGCCAACGAAACTCGACTTCGGAGGGAAGTATCATCTGTACAGCCAATATCCCTGTCTGGGTGTGGAGTGGAGGGGTTCTGCCATGACCTGGGTGGTGTGGATCAGGCCACTTCTCCTTGAGGTTGGCAGCTTGCGGATAGGATGAGGTGGGGCATCATCGACAAGGAATTCGCTGATGCGGGTTGAAAGCTAATTACGAATCGTTAACATGGCGAAAGTGCTGTCTCCCTGTGCAGGACGGGCTTTCGTCGAGTCCGCGCCGAACACTCTGGTGCGGGTTGCGTGAACCTGGCCGGCAAAACCCATCACTGACAACGAAATCACGGAACGGGGAGTCACCTGTGCTAGCAATGCGAATACCCGATTGTTCAGGCTTTCAGCAAGACTAGGGTCGTCGGGACCGAGCGCTTTCTCCCTGATCTCGAAGGCCCTCAGGTACAAGGCGTCCGCCTCCTCGTGCTTGTCCTGCATGGGGGTATCCATGGCGCGCAGCAAACGCACGGCATATGCTGTCGACCACATTCCGCTACCCTTTCCGTAGCCGATGAAGACTTAATCACAGTTTCTCAGCACGCCAGACCCTCCAACCGCCTGCGGCCGGCGCAACTCGGCGCCTTTGCGATACGATTCAACGTTCAGATTGACAGCCGTCGCGATGGCCCCGCCGACATGCGCTTGGCTCAACTTGACACAACAACAGCTATCTATCTGCTTCTACGAACTGCTTCTAGGAGGCCTCCGACAGGGAGTGAGCTCTCGCCTGTGCTGCTGCCAAGTTACCCCGGGTGTTGATGGCCTTGGCAACCTCCAGGTCGTCCGGGCCGAGCAATTTCTCAGAGGTATCGATGGCCCTCAGGTACAAGGAGTCCGCCTCCTCGTACTTGCCCTGTACGAAAAAAAAGGTTCCATGGTGCAGGGGGTATGTTGACCACCGGGAAAAGTTGTCAAACAGCATCCCACTACCGTTAACGTTACCATGTGAAGATTTCGCGCATAGTTCACAATAATCAAACCTACCTGCGGCAGTTGGAACTCGGCACTTTGGCGTCACCGTCTGCGTAGCGATGGTCGTGATGAGATGACTCCACTCAACAACATCCGAAACCGATATATCGACGAGAATGCCTAAAAGGGAACAGGCTGGCACCTGTGCTTGTAACATGAGGCCCCAGTTGTTCAAGGCTGTGGTAACCTCCGGGTTGTCAGGACCAGGCGCATTGTCGTAGATATCGACAGCTCTCCGGTACAAGGCGTCCGCTTCCTCGTAGTTGCCCTGAAAGGGAAGATGCATGCGGCAGTAACAACGCACGGGACAGGGTTTCCATCTGCATCCCGCTACTATTTCCGTCATGAACTGGTGAGGACTCACATAGGACCTCAGCTCATCAAGCGTTCAACGACCTGCGGTAGGTGCGACTCGGCATCTTGGCGACACCATGAAACCATCAGATATGCGACGGCAACGGTGAACGGCCTGAAGACGCGCTTGCCTTTACTTGGCCCAACACCAGCTGTTCCATACACGTGGAACTGAGGTGGCTCAAAAGGCAACATGGCTCACCCGTGCTTGCAACGATCTCGCCCGGTCGTTTAGGGTTCTAGAGAGCTTCGGGTTGTCGGAACCGAGCTCTTTCTCCTCGATCTCGATAACGCGCACGCGGAGGGTGTCCGCCTCTTCGTAGTTTCCCTGCACACGAAACAGCGAAAGATCAAGTGAAGCCCCCCGTGGGAAACACTTATCAACTACACAACTCAGTCCTACTTCCCTTCATGGGGCCGACCGCGATATTGCTACGGCTCACCGAACCCTTCCACGTCATGAGGTAACCTATTCAGCACATTCGAGCGCCGGTCGCTCCATGGCCGGACCTCGGCAGCAAAGATGCCCCGAAAAACAAGCTGTGCTCGACAGTTACGTCCGCCCTCCCGGACCACGGTACACCGACCGGAGCAAACGCTTCAAGGGACGACCGCAATACCTGTGCTTCCAACCCCGTCACCCGGCTGTTCAGGCTTCTGACAACCTCTGGGTGCTCGGGGCCGAGCGCTTTCTCGTTGATGTCGATTGCTCTCTTGTACAACGGGTCCGCCTCTCCGTACTTGCCCTGCACGAAAAAGGAGCCGTTGCCAACCTCATCCCACCACCATTTTCGGAGCCATCGGTGAAGATTCGCAGGCGGCTTACCGCACCAACCCCGTCAAGACGTGCGGGTCATACTTGAACTACTCCTTCTGCACGGTAGGCTAAACTGCTAGCAGTGAGGTGGGGTTCAGATCGCCCCCGAAGTCATATGATTCAATAACTACTACAGGAGACGGGCGTGCTTCTGAAAAAAAAATAAAAGGACCAGAAACGCGGGAGTGTCCTTGATTTTGGTGTCCTGAAGGGGAGAACGATAGGGACACGTGCCCGGGAACAGGCTCATACTTGTTCTTGTAACGCATACGCCCGGTTGTTGAGGGTTTTAGCAAGAGTCGGGTGGTCTGGGCCAAGCGCTTTCTCCTCGATGGCGATAGCCCTCAGGTACAAGGCGCCCGCCTCCTCGTACTTGCCCTGTACGGCGATGTCCAGCGGGGACAGCAGAAGGCAGGGTAGATGTTTTCAGCCACGTCCCATGCTTTCCTTTCCGCAGCGGTTGGTGAAAACAGTTTCACAGCTCTCATCAAAACCCTCAAGTACCGACAGCAGATGCAACTCGATACTTTTGTTGGCGGCCCCATATGCCCTGCAGATGGACTGCCGTGGCGATGGCCCTGACGACACCCTTGACGCGAGACCCATCGATGGAAAATGACGCCTAGCAGAGAACAGGCTATCACCTGCGTGTCTAACATGACCCCCCAGTTGCTCAGGCTTTGGGCAACTTCCGGGTGGTCGGAGCCAAGCGCTTTCTCCAGGATCTCGGTAGCTCTCAGGTACAAGCCCCCCGCCTCCTCGTACTTGCCCTGCACGAAAGGGGTACAGTAAGGGTAGCAACAACCCAACCGGTGTCAAACCACATCCACACACCTTTAGGCTTTGGCCAAATGGTAGGCGAAATGGTAGACCAATTGGTGAAGGTCTTTCAACTTCTTAAAGGGGTTATTTTACGGCGAGAGGGTACGTCGAAGGACCGATCCGCGGGCGGCGGTCTATTGTGTAAGACTTAATGCAATATTAGCGGATACCGTCACATAGACTCCGATGAGATAGTATATGGTCGGGCGTATATCAAGGCCTACACCTTCAATATTGTTTAGGACTTTTTATATTCATAAGTTAATCTTACACGTCCGCATCGTGGGGGCTCGAGACTGCGATACGAAGGCCGTACAACACAGAATATGTTTTTAACACGAACAAATTGAGATTTAAACTGCTACAAGATACCCATGCCTTACACAGAACATCTAAAGTTTTTGCAACAATAGGATGCCAATTTTATACAACAGACACTCATCCAAACCGGGTGAATAGGAAGAATATATGGGTGAGGCAGGAAGTCCGAACTCCCGCTACACGTGCCTTCGTGTCTGCCAAGACGGAATGTTCCGTGGTATGGATATCATGGTAGGGTGTGTACGTTGTGTGTTAGAGGACATACAGGACCCTTCTCAGTTTCGCTTCGTGGTGTCACTTTCTCCGGTAGTAATCGAAGGAGTTTGTGCTTGATCACGTCAACGTGCCACCAACCCTTGCAGGGACACGGAAGTCTTTGACGGCATCGACAAGGTGTATCTGGTAAGGGCTTGTCGCGATGGGTTCTGGAGGCAGTGTGACGGTCATACTAACAAGACAAGTCGAGACAGACTCCGACAACATGGACAAGTGATCTCAGCGAAAGTAAGATATTTAGACTACGACTACAAGTATGACCTCCGAGGAGGAATGGGACGCCCTTTGGGCGCTCGTTTCTGTTCCGATTCCGAGCTGGAGATTGCTTCCGAAAGTCTTTTTTCATGCTGTCTGGCACTCAGTTACACAGGATGGAAGCACTGGTGATATGGGAGAAGCTCATGACGGCTCCGGGTACGTGTCCGCCGGGCTGCTTTTCGAAGAGGACAGAGATACATGGGAACCTCCCGAAGAGACACTTTGGGGACGACAACACCGCCATCCGTCGAACAGGAGATGTGAGGAAAGGGATTGGCACGGAACATGAGGCTAGATCATAAAGGAGGGTGGTGCACCTGTGCTTGCAGCGCGTTCGCCTGGTCGTGAAGGGTTTCGGCAAGCGTAGGGTCGTCGGAGCCAACCGATTTCTCCTGGATGGCGGTAGCTCTCTGGTGCAGGGAGTCCGCCTCCTCATGCTTGCCCTGTACGACGTAGGGATAGCAACGCACGGCAGATGTTGTCAACGACACCCATCAGGTTATTTTACGTAGCCGATGAAGATTAACGTACAGCTCACCACATCAAAAGTATCAACGACCTGCGGCAGTTGCAACTCGGACCTTTGGCGACACCATTCATTTTTTTAGGAGGACAGTCATCGTTGTGATGGCCTGACGACATGCTCCACACAACAACAGTTGCGGACCGAATCGACGGAGACTCTCAGCAAGGCATGGATTCTCACCTGTTCCCGTAGCACATCCCCCTGGTTCATGAGGGTTGATGCAAGCTCCAGGTCGTCAGGGCCGAAGGCGTTCTCCAGGATCTCGATGGCCCTCTTACACAAGGGGGCCGCCTCCTCATGTTTTCCCTGTACGGTAGACAAGAGTGAGGAAAGCAGCGCACGCCAACAACGTTCCACTACCCTTTCCGCAACCGCATGGATGAAGATTTACTCATGGCTGGCGCAACCTGTGGCGACACCATGGAGCTTGTAGATCTACCGAGCCGCGGCGATGACTCCGACGACGTGGTTGGCTCGATACAACACAGCTGAGACTTACACCGACGATTACGCCTATCGGGAGACAACATATCACCTGGGCTGCCGCCACGTTCCCCCGGTTGTTGAGGACCCTAGCAACCTCTGGGTGGTCGGGGCCGAACGCTTTCTCCAGGACGTCTGTAGCTCTCAGGTACAAGGCGTCCGCCTCGTCGTATTTCAACTGAATCACAAGGGCGGCAACGACAGGGAACCGTTGTCAACTACACTTCTATTCCGGGGCCATTGGTGTGTGAAGATCCGCGCGCAGGTCAACGCATCACACCTTCACAGACCTGCGACAGGCGCAACTCGGCACTTTGCGGACCCCATCCAAAGCTGACGGTTGGCGGTCATGACGATGGTCCCGACGACATGCTCGACATGACATACGTAACACCCGCGGTAACCCCTTGATCGAAGGAGCCACATCCAGCAGGAAAAGCGCTACTTACCGCTGCTGCTAAGTCATCCGCCGAGCTTTTGAGGCATCGTCCAAACACCGGGTGTTCAGGACCCAGCGCTTTCTCCTGGAGCTGGATGACTTTCATGTATACGGGGGGCGCGTCCTCCTTCTTTTGTTCCTTAAGGTGCAGCAGTGAGGGCAGCAAACGCAACACACATGTTGTCAGGGACATCCGGCTAGTTTGTTCCGGGGCCATCGGTGGAGCCGCATCACACACCCTCAAAAGGACGAGCGGCAGGCGCAAATCGGCACGTCGTCGTACCGTGTAATCTTTAGATCGACAGCCGTGGCGATGGCCCCCGCGACATGCTTGTCTTCACTTGACACAGCATCCGTGGCTTATCACGCAAACCAACAGTCAGGCGGACAAGAGAAGACGGCTCGCTTGTCTTGTTAACACCCTCGTGTGGGGGACCACATTGTTTTGCTCTCCTTTTCACTTTGGCGCCTGACAATCATTCCCATGCAGGCCATTTCTACCACGAACAGAGACACCACCTACATTCGTGTGCGATTAATGTTCGGCAGATGCTTACACTCGCAACTCCAACTCATCGCATCCCTCTGCTATACATGTGATGGCCAGCATTTCATCGCCACAACGAAGCGAAGGTCCTTGCTCATTAACCCGTGCTTCAAGCGCATATGCCGGCGACGGACAAGAACGTGGTACTGCAACTACGGTGGCACAAGAGGATGACAAGCAAGCGAAATCGGGCCATATTGCCGGTGTATGTACAGGGGTCGGGGCGGGGCAGAGAGAACCAAGTATAGCAAAAAAAACACCGGTTGTGACAAGTCTTGTTCGAAGTCACTTTGGATATGCAGCAGTGTTGTGACCAATCGGTACATGACGTTCAGAGGCATGGAGCAGTGACGAAGATACATCGATGAATTTGGCGGGGTATATGTAATCATGGCCGTGCATGGGGTAGTCGTTAGACCATTGACCTCGCACCCCTACAAAGCCGGGACGGAGCACGCCGGGGTTTCACCGGACCAGGGTAGCAAATCACATCTCACCAAGCCCGAAGCGCTGCGAGGTAGTCGGCGAGTCGCATGGAGGGTGCGCTGCATCCAGCTAAGCGTGTTCGGCATCTCTTGTGCCTACGTCCTTGCATACTGATGACAGCTGCGAATGACTTATTATTGTATTTTCTGGTGCTTTGACTTCCAGAGACAGAAAAAAGTACTGTGTAACTGCTTCGAGGATGATTGGACCAATTAATCACAACGTGGTGCGATCATCACCTTTGCGCGGAGTGAGGGTTCTCGACCCCGCGTGGCATGATCTACTGCACCACCATTATGGTTACCGTACCAAGAAACAAACCAAAGGCAAAACCAAAAAAGGTAACCTGGTTGTAGAGCTCACCAAGCGATTGGCGTGTTTTACAACGCCGGTGCCAAGCGAACAAAACCCACGGCGCGTGGGTGGGAAACCAACCTCACGTTTGCTGTTTCCTTGTCCCTAGCGTCACGACAACGCTCGTGGTGCCGGGTCGGCGGTGGGGAAACCCAAGTGACACGCAAGCATAGGACCCCAATCAACGCAAGAGATCCGGGGGACGATATGATGCCGGACCGGAGTTGTGCGGACGTGCACGTGTCAAGTGGAAACAAGATGAAAACTTTCGTCCGTGCGACGGGATAGCAACCGAATTTCAAAGTTGTTCGGCCGCCGTATGTACAAAAAGCTGTCGGAGAAACTACAATACGTTTACCGGCGCACGTTCTTGAAACGCAGCGGCCGTATCATCAACACGTCCCAAAATCTGTATAAAGGAAGCACGTTTTCTCGAGCTCAGAGGTATTCAACCCAGAGCTGAATTGGCTGGCAGTTTTGGATCGGTACTAACAAAATAATAAACGTGAAGACAACAGAAGTCTTGGCCGACATCAACCACGGTCGCAGAAAGGTCTGTCGGGTCCAATTCCGACAACAAATAACGGCATCAGATCAGGGCAGGCTCAGTGACGGGGCTTTCTGCAGGGTGTTGAAGCGAGAGGCAAGAGCACAGACGCGGCGGACGAGCAGCGACGGACCGTGCAGGGTTTGAAGCTTCTCTCCGCTCTCCACCCGTCTCTTATTATTAGCCCATATCCAACGTGTGTGCGGGGCGCACACGCTGAAGAAAACTTGTCTTCGATACATCTGATGGTCACCCCGGTGGTCTATGACAGACAGTGGTTAACCTCGCGAACCTACAAGTACAGGGTTGTGGTTTCGGTTCTCTCTAAGCGGGTATGTTTCTTTGTCCACAATCTTGGGGTGGAAGCGATCAATTTCGTGTGCGTGCAAGCCTCGACTTGACGGTCGACGACGGAAGGGGACGGCTGAACCCTGCTCGTGAACAAAAATCTAAGGAAAGTGCCACAGGTGGCAAGGCGGGGCAATACATATATTTACAAGGATCCCCTTCTGGAGTTTGGTGCCTTATCTCCCGGGGGTGACGCACGATGACATCCATAGATCGATCTATCGATCCATCGATCCACAGTTGGCCATATCTCAACTCTCGACGTTTCACTTTCCGTATGACACACGGTAACGTATCGCATCATTTCATGTACCAGGTAGTATAATCTAAGGTGCGCTTTGCGAATGCGGGAGTGTGTGCGTGTGGGTTGCTGCTGCTCTGTCGTTTTCGCCGCAGGCCCTTCCTCTGCATCTTGGTAATAAGCTTGCAGCGGTAGCGCGTCGCGGTGAGTGGCTTTCGAGACCTTTCCGCAGGTGCTCGCTGAAAAGCAAGACAGCCTGCTGAATTGTGAGAGGTTGCACACCGCTGAGCGCTAGTGCGAAACTCGGCGACCCTCAGGACGTTGAGGTATGATATGTCATTGCTACTGGCTGACCCCAAGGCCCGCTTTCGGTGGTAAAAGATGAGAGTGAGGAGGGGGCGTGTGCGAGCTCATCCTCGAAATCATGGAACCACACAAACCCAGCAACGCCAACCAATCACACGCGTGCAGAATACGGTACTGGTAAGCTAAGCTACGCCACTGAAAAAGTATGACATCGTGTTTTCGAATTTACGCATATGTATGTATTTCTGGAAGATCAACAAACATCATATCATCTGCCTCCTTGAAACGTTCCTTGAAACGTTCCTTGTTTGCGGGAACGAACCATCCTGTCTCTGGAACCGCGCTTTCCAGAACACAACGCTTCTGACTATTTCATCCTTTGCTGCTGCGCCACGTGTCGAAGACTAAACGGTGTGTCACACGCAAACCCTCGTTGAAAAGCCACGCTGCAGAGGAGGGCAGCATCTAGCTACATCGAAGGTTGGACCATCGCCAGCAAACATGTCGTAGCTTTTTCCCGCCCACCCACCCCCTTTTCTTTCGAAGGTGGGGGGTAGGAGAGAACGCTACGAGTGACGGCTCACTTAGGAGAGGCCACTGAACACTTTCTGTGACTCGGAGTTGGAGCCACCTTCGTTATCTAGAAGTAAGAACAGCGAGCATGTGGTGCTTTCTGAATGGTGGTGTGTACAATTGGGAGGCCGATCGTCCGAGACTGCTACTGTACAACACTTTCGTCCCGTCTGGTGGTATTCGGAGGGATATGCCGCGTTCAAGTAGCAGAGACACGTTAGGATACCGCGGAGGCTTTGTGCCGTGCGGAACGCGTAGTACGGGGGAAGTCTCCCGCCGAAGCCCACAAAAAATATTAAATGAAGGAAATTCGAAAGAAAAACAATAAAAAAGAACTTGGGTATATTGGTGTCGAAGAAAGGGTTTTCGTGCACCGTTGAATCGTCTCTAAGAGGTGCTGTCAGGACAGACACACATTTGTGTCCATGGAAAAATGTCCTAGTCAGGAGGAAAATGTGCCTAACCGGAGTATCGAACCAGTGTCCTTTCGACGAGGCCATCATAGGCGAAGGACCAGGTGTGTCGGATAAAGGCAAACGTCAATTCACGGGAACCTTGGGGAATCGGTCCCTCCGTATTAATCGTGTATATTTGTACCTGGTTGCTCAGGTGTGTGGGAAAGTACGTGCTGGTGTTGCGCAGTTGTGCCTGTCGATGGAAACGTGCGTAAGTACTTCCTGCGGAGTCTTTCGTGTTATGGAAAGCCTCCCCTTCTCAGCGCCTCTCAGAAAGAAGAGTGAGAAAAGATTCTTCTACCCGAGAGAACGATGTGCCGAAGCACAAAACACATCCAGGTGACTTATTCACATATATACAAGGCAGCCCTTCGGGAGTTTGGTGGCCGGCTTCCCGGTGGCGATCAAGAAGACATAGCCATCATGGTCATTGTACCTCGACCTTCGGTAGTGCCGCGGTTTCGTACGTTAATCTGGGACCGTATTGCGGGGAAACGTTATTTTCTCACCGTGACGCTTCGCGTGCGCGCGTTGAAAGATTGAGTGCTTGGTGAAGGCGATAGTGGCGGCGTCACCGCAGATTCTACTACGGAAATGAATGCTGCTGTGTTTCTTGAGTTACACGTACATTCTCTTCGACGGTTATTTGCAGCTGGTTATTCTAGCATCATCGCTCGAGACTTGGAGATCGGGTTACTGGGGCCCACTTTAAGTGTTTAAGTTTCCTCAAGTTATTATTACACTTTCCTCGATTTAGACCCCGGAGTATTCGGGAAATGACTGTCTCGCATTGCGGAGGGCCGGTGGCTGCGCATTTATGGGCGTGTTCTGCTGTAGCTGGTGATCCAATGTAGTTGTGTGCATTTCCTGTGTCGGCAGCGCGGAGGTGTGTGCAAAGGGTTCCAAGTTTTATCTCTCCTCCTGATCGTGCTCTCCGGTGTCGTTGGTCTAGACTATACAATCGTGCTTCTCGGATCTGCTCTCTCTCTATCTGTCTCTCTATCTGTCTCTGTCTCTGTCTCTGTCTCAGTCTCTGTCTCAGTCTCTGTCTCTGTCTCTGTCTCTGTCTCTGTCTCTGTCTCTGTCTGTCTGTCTGTTTGTCTCTCTCTCTCTCTCTCTCTCTCTCTCTCTCTCTCTCTCTCTCTCTCTCTCTCTCTCTCTCTCTCTCTCTCTCTCTCTCTCTCTCTCTCTCTCTCTCTCTCTCTCTCTCTCTCTCTCTCTCTCTCTCGCTCGCTCGCTCGCTCTCGCCCTCGCTCTCGCTCTCTCTAGGGTCACCCGCCTTCACTCCTCCACGACGAGTCCACTCTTCCTCTACCCCCACTACACATTGCGGACTCGTTCTTGGCCTTCGACTGCTGTCCACCGAGAACCACCCGTCATGGACTCCTTCTCGAGCTTCAGATGTGCGATGATTTGCCCTACATGTAGTTTAGTCTCTTTTGGTCGCTCGGCGTATTTTCGTTTCGAGCCCTGCCGTGACATTTTTGTGGTTCGGAATTCCGAGTTCCTTCTCTCACTACATAGCTATATACACGATCTGTCCCTCTCTCTCTTTCCGTGTTTCTGTCTCCCTCGATGGGCACACCCGCCCATCACGCCACCAATCCCTCCAGTCCCGTCAACTGCTATCGGACCCCCTCTATCTGCAGTCTTGGGATACTGGGTCGCTTCACTTTTCCCATGGCAAACAAAGGCACTGCAGCATTTCTTTTTCACCGAGCTGCTACATGAAATCACTTTTTTAAGTCTGATTGATCATGTTGCTGGAGTCAGCTGCTAACACTCTATCGATTGACATATTGACATACCTCTCATCTCCCTCCATCTAGTAATCTTATTCTACCGTCTATCGGACTCCTTTTCTAGCCTCCGATTCACCCATGTCTCGTTGCCAACTCTTCGGCCCTTGCGTTTCAGGTCCACAAATACTTCGCTTGATGCTCGCCGTCGATGAGCTCATCAACGTTCAGAATGTCCCTTCATCAAACGCACATGCAAATCTTGCAAATTCTCATTTTTTTTCGTTGAGAGGATTTTGCTGGGTGGGTCGACTCAAAAACACATTATGTTGTGTGAGCGGCTGAGCTTGGGAAACGTCACACCGCAGCTGGACACCAGCTGTGGGTCGGTCCTGCCCCCTGCTCTTGTTTTCGTCTTGCATCACCCCCTTTCTTTATGCAACTGCTGTGGGCTCATGCCCGGGGGGATCACTTCGAGGGTATTGTGCATTCTGTGTGGAATGTATGTACATACACGTCGTATGCAACGTCACATGCACCTGCATGTACAAAGCATGCACACACAACTTCGTGTGGAAAACTATGAAGAGAAGTGAACAACAACAAGGCCGGTTGTGGGTACTCGCAACACTGCTGGTGGCCAGAGATCAGGCTGCGGGTTGGTTGGGCACCATTGGCCTACAACCTGGGGGGGGAAGGTTGCACCCCGAAGGGCAAGTAATCTCGCATCTCGGAGAAATGGGTTATTCCAACTGGCGCGGCAGGCTGGCAGTATTGACGAAGCACGTGTTGAGGTTGATCCCGGCCTCCCAACCTCCCAACCTCCCACCCAGCGCAGGCTGTGATCCACCTAGACTAGTCTACACCTCTGGCCACCAGTGAACGACCTAAACTCCACACAGACTTTGACTCGAGAAACACTCGAAATATTCGCGTTCTTCCTCCGGCACGGGAAGGGCCAAAGCGTCTCGAGCTATTGCACTCCCGTAGATGCTGTTGTCAATGAACGAAGTACACGCACTTCCTTTGCAATATTCGTGGTGTTTCAACCTACCGCCAAAGATCCAAACGCAGGAGGGCCTGTAGACTAATTTGTGGGTCTTTCCAAGTCTCTCTGATCAACTTACATATTATCATAATGACAATATGCTTGTGCTACCCTGTTGGCCTTGGGATCGCTCCAGTTTGGGCAGCAGGGCAAAGCGCTAACAACCTCTCTACTCTGGTTCCTTGACATGCAGGCTAGACATCAAGAAGGCATGTCGTAGCAACATCTGCTGGTGCCATCCGCAACAAAGTAAATTCGCCTAACTTCGTCTTGAGAGCGGGATAGATCTTACCTGCCCATCTGTGACGGTAGCAGCAGAAGAAGCAGGGGACGCCATCAGAGCAAACCAGGGGCGGAGGTTGCGTCGTGTGTGAGAGGTGACCTGCTGTTGATGTCCAGCACTCTGCTTCAGGCGTCTGCGATGGATGTCGCTGCTTGACGAACAGACCAGGAGTGGGTGAACTTCTTTCCGCTATGCGGGCATATGGACCCACCTGCCACACAATGATGCAAAGTGACAAGTAGCGCCATGGTAAATTCAACCAAGGGCCATCGGCAGGTCCGGCAATCGACTACTAGATACTTGTCACATGGCGCCCATCATGATGACATCATAATGCATCATGTGGATATGCCGATATGCCAATATGCCGAGGAGATATGCCGCCCGCATCTCCAGTGTGTAAAAATAGTAACATGCGGTCGGATCGCTCCCCCCCCCCCCCGAGATCCACCGAGTTGCGTCTCCCCCACCAAGTTACGCTGGTTGCGCCAAGTTCAATTGCGTTAAAACGTACCTTCTGCACGCTCTCAGCTTAGGAGGGACCTTGAGGTATAGACCTGGTGTAGGGCCGCGTGAAAGGGAAAAGGGAAAAACTCAAGAAGGAAGAGAAGTCGATTTCACGGTCGGCGGATATAGTCCGTGGTGACCGGCAGGGCGGGCGCGCCGAACAGCATGTCGTACTTGCTGCCGCACTTGAGAACAGGGTGGGCTGTGGACCAAGCCATCATCAACGAGGAGGAGAGGGTGGTGTGCCTGAGGTTCGGGCACGACCATGACGTGACATGCATGCAGATGGATGAGGTCCTTGCGGGCATTGCGGAGGACGTCAAAAACTTTTGCGCCATCTACGTCGTTGACGTTTCGGAGGTACGCACACAGGGAAGAGAGAGCGGGGTTGACGTGGTACAATAGGTTGTTGGGGGCGATGAAAAAGAAGCAGTGTACAGCAGCGGTTACCCCTGTCCGCCCTCTGTACCCGAGATTAATCACAACGCTTGTGGCTTCTATGGTTGAAACAATACGTACCATGAGGTACATATGTTTGTACACAATTGTTGCCCGCCACCGTGCCGACAACTGGGTTGTGGTGAACTGCATTTAAATACTTGGGTAGCTGTTGTATGTAGTCACAACGCAGGCAGTGCAGGGCGAAGGCATTTCTTCGGCCCATCCCCCGCCTACGTATACATATATGTATGTATAGCTAATCTACGTTGCTTTGTCGTTATTTTCAGGACTGCCTTTGTTAACGGCTTTTCATGTCGGCACCATTTGCCGCGTTAGCCAGAAACCACGGTACAGGCAGTACAGTAATTTTTGGGCGGTAACAGGCCACTACGGTAAACTCCGGACGTGACTGTTCACCACCACGATAATTTTCTTGCGGTACAATGTACAGTATAGCAAAATCACCACCGCCGTGCAGAAATGTGCTACTCTCTTACCGTTACTGGTCACCACGGTATAAATTGTACAGTTAACCACGCCATGGCACGTCGGGCCTTGTTCGGTTTGCTTGCTTTTAAGTGTTCCTTACGCGTGTGGTCACCACACAACAAACGTGCGCGACACGTTCACCAAGCATCACGTCCGTCAACCGGTCGCATGAAAAGGTTGAAAACCAGGCGGCATGTGTACATACCCACTTTACTGCAGGCAGGCTCTCGTGGCCTCAAGACGACGACGGAAGTCCAGCGCTGCGCGAATCAATTATTATGTCATCGGCAGAAAGGGCAGGCGAAACAAGCAAGCGTCGCCTTCCTCATCCAGAGAAACGGTGGAATTCAACGGTTCAAAAACAAACCAAGAAAACAACCCTTACGCAACAGGCCCCCACATCATTAGTCCTCGAGAAGTCAATCACTGCCCGAGTGCTTGCCAATTGCGTAGAGGGGCACATGGCCATTTTACTGGGCCGTGTAACGCGCTTGGTGTTTTTTCTGTGCGGTAGATGGGATTTTGTTTTTATTTCGGTAATGTTCTCCGCGGTAATTCGAAAACACGGGAATTGCGATTTTGCCCTGAATTTTTTGTACGGTAATGGCGCAATTCAATTATTTTTTCGTTAACGGCTTGGTCGTTTATCTTAAGACCAATTTATCACGGAAACGATTTGGATGTGAACGGTAATTCTCATTTTTCACGGGATCACGGGAAATGGTAACTACCGTGGTTCTACCGCAGTACAATTACAGCTCTGATTATTTTATACCCTAACCCAACCCTTCTGCGGTGTCTCAGCGGAGTTTTTGCAGCCGCAATGGGGTTCAATTGTGGGCGAGAACGGGGCTACAAGCTAGTGACCTTTTTTTTATTTTTTCCTTCCGTGCTGTATGGGGACATGGAAAAGGCCAGTATCGACGGGCACAAATACGGGCGACCGTTCCACACAACAGCGCCCAGACCCGTCGTCGGCAACCACAAAGTCCCTTTAGTAGAGCAGAATAGACCACTGGCAAGTGCGGGCTTGGACCTCGGTACTTTTGTCCATTTGGTAACAATTTCGCACCTGACTCTTTCAAGTCTACCTCGATGACGTGTCTGCCACTTTCGTGTGCTGTCCTTTCGCCAAGCGCGGGATAGACGTGAAAAATATGTACCTCCGGGTTGGGTTCGCATCGTTCGAAGCCTCGGAAACGACTCGTGTTGTATGACACCAAAGCGCAGGCCGAGGGGGGGGGGGGGGGGGCAGGCAGCGCCCCTACATGATGGGTTTCGCCGCAAAATACTCCGCGCGGAAACGGTTGCGTGATTCATTAAGTCTTGTTTGCACCGACCTCGCCAACCGGGTGACCAATGAAACGGCAAAACTGTCAGCGTTTAACGATCAAGGTCCTCGGAAGGAAACTAAACATGGGAATGAGCATGCCGCAGTATTCCCCACACAAACCCGTTGCGAGAGCAACACACCAAAGCTTAAGCTTCATGCTAGCCCCCCCCTGAAAGTCAGTATTGCAAAGGGTGAAGGACGGCAATAGGGTCACTTCAGGGGTTTTGTGTGTTGTGTGGGTCCAGGTAGTGCCCCGATCAGCCAAACGCGAGCAAGAGCCCGGGCGACATTTTCGCCCCGAGGGCGTTTTCCCTCTGTAATTGCAACGACCCACCCATTACCTTTTTTGAGAACGCACCCGGGCGTTCATTTTTTCCTAAACAAGTTGCGCAACAGTAGTCTTGTTCGTGCCTTGGCGATCGCGATCGTGCTTGGTTGCCATCACGATGCTCTGTAACGAACTGTTTGTCGTTGGTCGATGTAGGGTTGCTTGCCTTGGGATACCTTTTGGAGAGCACCGCCAATGCATGACCACGTTGCCGAGTCCTCTCAATACCCGTACGTTCTCGGGGCGAATTTCGAACACCCCGCATATCCGTAATCGAGGCACCGCCTTCCCGAATCTTTCGTCAGTGTTTCCAACCCGCTGCCTCCACCAGCCTGTGCCTCACTTTCTGTTGCTACATGTTTTTTTCTGCTTTTTTTATCTCACATAACAAATCCATCTATATCCATTGAAAAGAGTCTAGGATATCCTGGTACATGAATTCATAGAGTTAACGGAGTGTTATAGTACCTGTTTCTACGATTCCCCAAGCATTTATTTATTTATTTATTCATTTTTGGTGTTCGCCTTTGTCCCTCTTCGCAGGTGCCGGACTTCAACGACATGTACGAGCTCTACGACCCTTGCACCGTGATGTTCTTCTTCCGCAACAAGCACATCATGATCGATCTCGGCACGGGAAACAACAACAAGATCTCGTGGGCGTTCAACAACAAGCAGGAGGTGCGCTCAATTGTCCATCTGCAGCCGCGTTTTCTGAGGATTGGTGCGATTGTTTGTAAGGGTACATCACCGCCGTAGTATCGCGCCCACCAGCGCTGTGTTTGGGTTTGTCAAACAGCGATGGAAAGGGCTGGCGCGATGTTTTGTTCGATGATGTCAAACGCCCCGTTGTCGACCTGAGCGCACACGAGAAACAACGGCATGCCTCCGGCGTTCAACAACACGCAGAATGTACAGTGTAGGGCGGAGGGCATTGCCGCAGGAACCTTGGGATGTTGTTGTTCGCACGCAGGCGTGCTAAAATCGCCACCTTTTTGCTGTTGATTGTCGCGTTCATTTTTGCTTGAAATGCGACGAGATGCCATAATTAGCTTGTGCAGGCGAAGCTTGGTTTGGACGTTACTTGCCCTAACGCCCCCGGCGAACGCCCTCCCTCCCTCCCTCCCCCCTCCTGCCAGATGATCGACATAATGGAGGTCGTGTACAGGGGAGCTCGAAAGGGCAGAGGTCTGGTCGTCTCACCGAAGGACTACTCGACGAAGTACAAATACTGACCGCGGCACCACGCCCTTGTTTCCCCTCGGTTGTCGAAGCTGTCAGCAGGCCGAAGTGGAAGATGGGAAGTGGAGGGGGTTGGTCTTGTCTGTCTGGTTAGTGTTTTGCTGTCGAATTTTGTTTTCGCTGCAGGGTTGGAGGGTGTATATAAGCAGCGGCTGCTCTTGTCGATAGTAGTTTGGCGTGCCTACATTATGGGAGCCCAGAAAGTTCTCTTGTGTTTTTTCGGGCGTGGTGGATGCCCCCGCCGTATATCTGGTAATTTTTATCGGTTTCAATGTTTCAGCGCCTGTCATCGGTTCAGGCGCGGACGCACACGGTTTGGCTGACTACTACTCGGGATGTAGAGAAACTCCCTAACGTTCTGCTGGGCATCTTCCGCTTGAGGGTGCGACGGACCGTGCCTTGTACGAGTTGAAGGGCGTGGGCGTGGGTTGGAGGCCTTCAGCGTTCGGCTTGTGACTTGCAACGAATTACGCCCGTTGTCGACTTCGTTCGTGATTGTTTGATCTTCGCATGATGGGCGGGGGGAGTCAGGCGGTTGTACAGCAACGACATATTTGTGTAAACGGCTGTAGCATGGCGGCCGCGGGGGGACATCGCCGAACTGAGTAATGGACACACGAGACGCGGTGCCCCGCAAGGTTTGAGATTCCTGACGCTCACACTTCAGGCTGTACTGCAGATGGCTACAGCGGTTTTTGTGAAGCGTGTGTTTGTGCACGGGGAGCTAACCCGCGCCCGCTTGTCGCCCCCCCCTCTGTACACCCTGAGGACGGTCTCAGTTGTTCACCTGGTTGTGGTTTGGCTGTGGTGTGTGTACACGGGCATGATCTGAAAAGTACCGTACACCCTCAGCTACCGGTATTTGTCTGATGTTTCGTGCCCTAATCGTGCGCATGAGTGAACGGCGAGGCAAACCATCGCAAATACCGCCGCCTCGACACGTCAAGTAAGTTCGTTCGGTCTAAACGTCTGGTAGTTCGGTCGAAAGTGCTCGAACCGCTCTCCCGCGAGCTCTCGACGCCTTTCATATACGCAATCATATACTCCAAGGGAGCGACTATTGGATCCTTCCCGCGGAGAAAACGACCTCATGCAGTACAGTGGAGTTGTCCTCTGTGACACCGTATCGGACTGAAACAATAGAGGCTGAATAAACTTGGGTGAAATAACATGCTTTGATGTTCCTCAACACCTCTCCGCCTACAAAACGATGTCGTGGAAAAGTCTCCTCGCCCCCATCCGGAGCCCGGTCTTGGACAAAACGACTGTACTCCCTTCATCCGAACGTACCGTGACGATACGGTTTTTTGCTACAGTAGTGAGGTCGCAACTGCCGGAACACGTGTTGGTGCAAGGGCCACGTAATCGGTGTGTTCTTGTTCTCGAAATTTTCGACAGCAGGTAGTTGTGGTTTTCTTGCTTTTGCATGTTCGAGCGTTCAGCTTCCGATTTCCCGTGCCACTATTCGTCTTTGCCCTCCGGAGTCACTTGCAGCCGCTGCATGTTCACTTGATGATCCTTCGCCTGTTTGCGCCTAGCCGCCGTCGCTTCGGTGGCTCTCCTGCCCGTGCTGGTGCTGGCATCTGTCGGGGCCGACTTGTGCAAGATGCGCCTCTCTTCCGAAATCTTGCGTGAGATCTGCTTGTAGTCATCGTCCGGTCATTTTCAGATGGTTAGTACACGGCGTACCATTGCGACGTGAATGATTCAAGTGTACATAGTCTAGCTATGTAAATGTTGTTGATGAGCCCTCCGGTTACCGCTGGGTAGGATAACGTTCTCCGAGCTCGTTGTATCTCACATCCTGTATCCTCAGCGCCTGGATCTTCAACCCGCGGGCGACCGCCAGGTCGTACGGCGTCTGTAGTCGTTTGGTAAGGATCGTCCACCTCGCGCCAGCTCGCAGAAGTACCTCGGCAACTTGCTCGTGCCCGCTGTTCGAGAAAGCATTTTAACCAATCGATACTGAATGAGGACACATTTCGCTTAGCACGATAAACCCGACGTCTTCATTTCACTAAACATCAGCACGTTCGTACACGAGTACAGGGTCTTTCGATTTTACCACCATGGGCAGTTTGGTTTCAGCCTGCGGCACGACTGAACGACATCTGCATGGTCGGGGTACTGCGAATAGCGCGTCGATTGACCTGTGGCTATATATGGTTTTGAAGGTTTGGTTAGTACGGCCTTGATACGTGCGACGTGAACGCCAGCACACAACCTTGGATAACGTCTAAACATGACGTGGTCCCCGCTAAGAAAGCGAACACCTCTCTCCAGTTCCGTGACCCGCTTCAGCTCTTCAAACCGAGAACGTGTGTGGCGTTGAGCACCGTGGCGTGCTACGTGTGGAAGGAAACAGAAGTAGACCGGCATTGCCAACACCGCCGACCACCGCTCAAAATCCTATAGCATTTGCAACATGGTTAGAATTTAACAGAGTACTTAGAATTCCACGCGTGGGTGCGGTCTAATGGAGCGTATGTCCTTTTTCACTCGCCTTTTAAGGGCGAAGTGCAGGGGGGCATACCAGCCCCATGATGTCCTCACGTTCACGCTGGCGTCCGCGTTGATAAGAACCTGAGCCACCTGGCAGCTGTTGACCTCGGCCGCTCGGTGAAGAGGTGTAACTCCACTCTGAAGCGCCCTCCAACCCCCCAAAGAGCCACAGAGCAAATAGAGGACCCGTGTTTGCAAGACCGTCAATAGTTTGGAGAAGGTGCGCTGTGTGCAGACTGACGTGTTACTATTCCGTGTAGATGAGTAAGCACCGCCAACCGTTCTCGCACAGGAACACACACACACACTCCCTTCGGGCAAGGGAGACTCGCCAAGGTATCATGTACATGAAAGTATGACGACGCTATATTCGCACGGTTGACTTCCTGAAAACATAAAAGGAACGGTTTTGCAGCAACACGGCGACAGCAAGGGATTGATTGGGGGAGATCGATCCCCTGTGCTTATTTTACAGTTATTTATCGCACCCGGAGGAGAGAGAATGACAAATTGCGCACGGGCCTACAAGTATCGATAGCCAAAGAACTCCCCCGCCGTTGACAACCACGTCCTTGTGCATGTGAATGTAGAACACATAGACTCCCTGTCGACAAATAACTACTGTACGTAGTAACCTGCCAGTAGGATTCGTTTTGGATTCACAGAGAGCGTGCATGACCTATGGGCGACGCAGTCGCGTGGACCAGTGTTGAAAGGACTTCAACACCTTCCCTTCGATTGCTGCGGTACTATCTCCGAACGAGTCTTTCTGTGGCTGTGTGCAGACTACGTATGGACTAAGTATTTCCTAAAAATCGTGCTCTGAAGGTTTGCTTGCTATTTACTACACTGTAGACTGTACACATGAACGAAGTGACCCCCGGGCCATGAAATAAAGACTTCCATACATACATAAAGCTACAATAAATTACAGTACGGTAGGCACGCGTTCTGCCGCGGGAAAAAGCTCAGAAGTTTACTCTCACCCAGCGCGTGGCATCAGGACTGACCCCCCTCTCCAATAAAGCTTTCACCCTCGGCACGTTGTTCGCGCGCGCTGCCTGCCAGATGTCTCCCATTGGATTGCTTGATGGAGTATGTATTATTGGCCGGCCTTTTTCGACAAAAGAGCGTGGGACGGGGGGATCATGTCCCAAACTTCGAGTAGTACAACACAACAATTGAACAATTACGCTCGTGGAAAAGAAATTAAGCGCTGTTACACAGTGCTCTCCTGCCGCGTACGACGCTGGTATCCGTTTCACACGGGGTGCAGTTTGACGTCACAGCACGATTGCGCTCGCCACAAGTGCTCCATCACACCTCATTGGTCGACCATGCCGTTTCAGATGCATGGAGTTCCAGAGGTTAATACGATATTTTGATATTTTTCCTGGACGGGACCCCCGGCACGGCCACATACCGCCCCAATTTTACTATTGACCCCGAGCTGGTAATGACAGCAACATCATCAGCAGAGCCAGCCCGGTGTTGGTTGCCCTCTCAACCGCGGGCACGCGGCGGACAACGTGAGCGGGATTCGAGGTGGTCAGGGGGCGTCTGGTTGCTTGCAGCAGGCGCGTGCTGAAAGGAAGAGGAGCGAATTTGGATCGGACTTTGGAGCACTGAGAGACCCACGTGTCTTTCTCTTTTTGTTTAGCCGCCATGGCTCTCGTCGAGGTGCCGACGCCGCTGGCCCTTCTGGGTGGTTTGCTGGCAATGGCTCTGAGTGCGCACTACATGACGGCACGCAGCAAGACGGGGTGAGTTGCAAGCCCGAGAGAGTGCGAGGGATGCATTTGCATGGAAATTGCAAAGAACGCGTTTTGTTTTGCGCGGCAGCAGTACTTTCTTGAAGGATGGATCGTGCGCGTGTACAACAGCTTTGTATTCTGGCTCTTCTGGCTCGTGCTGCTGGTGCTCCTGCTCCCCAGCAGTGCGGCGTCGCCTGCTCTGCCACGGTAGACACCAGACACGACCGCCACAACCGATTCATCCATTGGGCTGGGTAGCACGAACAGCGGGAGCTCGTTACTAAAACAGAGTGTTCTTGTAGAAATCACGTGTAGAGTGTTTTTTAACAGTGAGACTGCTGGCGACATCCGTGTCCGTGCGACCCATGCGACCCATTGTATGTACGCAGCACGCGCATAATGTTTGCTCCGGTCGTGTGCATTCTCACTTGGGTGTTATTACCACACCCGCCTTACCCGAGGAATCTCCTCGTCGCAGAGTACTCGGCGCGTGTTCCCGTTTGGGTGTGGTGGTTCTATTCCTAGAACGCTTTCTCCTTTGAAGTTATTTTTTGTTGCATGTGTGCGGAAATGCGGCTAGTCTTCTCTGCTACTGTATCTATATGTCTATATGTATCTATTACATACCACGTGCGAATGTAATTTTTGCGGTCCGCAGCTGCCGAGCTGCCGTGCTCCCCGCGCGCGTGTGAAACTGCCGAAGATGTCATAGACTACCTGCCGCAAGAGAGGAGAGATGGAACCGGGTGCGATCGTCTTTTCAGCTGTTGTTTGCTCTGTTTTTCTTTCGCACCCCGGTGCCATCTCTCCGACCGCGGTGCGGAAATGGAATACAAACGATGATTTCGTTTGGCTCTTTCATGGCACCCCGGCGCGATCTCCCCGACCGGTGCGACGCCCAATGAACGAAATACAAATACACGCAGCGGGCGTTCTGGTGCTAGGCGGTATTGTATGCCATATGTCCGCCTCTTTTAGTATTTCGTTCCAGCGTGTCTGCAAGCAGACGTGTGCCGTGTAGGTACCGTTGTTGCTGGCTGTGAGCACACCGGTAACGGCAACGTAGGCTGGTATGTATGTTACGTCGGCATTGGGTTCGGCTCCCACGTCTTTTTCGCAGCACGCCCCTCATGTTTCTTCTGATCATGAACACTAGTGTTCGGACTGCGTCTACTTCGTAGTGGTTGTACCTATGCCGCTTTTTGTTTGTCGAACAGAGAAATATTTTCCCTCGTTGTAAGCAGCCCTCGGTCCACGGTTATTTTCGCCTTCAACCACAGATGGAAAGCAATCTGATTTCTGGGACATTCTAAATGAGAAATGAGGACTAGAGTCGAATCTCTACAGATTGTGCTCAAGTTGTCCATCCACAGACAAACGACGCACCCCGACACAAGTAATGTTTTGGAGACTCACTGGCTAGTCGATTTGCGGTGTGTTGGAAATACGGGTAGCAGCAGCGCAACATCTGTTCCTGTAGCCGAACTTCACGCCAGCAAGCTTGAGTTCGTATTATCGAACTATCGTCCACGTGAATAGGCTGTGTGTTGTCTTGCCCAGCTTTGCCTCCGTCCACCCAAGCCTCCAGCCCACTTCTGAAAGGAAGTGGTGATGAAAACACTGGGTGCGGCTGCTTTGTATCGCTGCTTGGTACACCGGCATGTTTGTTGCACAGACCATGTGTTGATAGGTGGCTTTTATCACGAGCATAGGTGGCATGCCTTTTGCTTCCCTTGACCTCGCTTTCTGTTAACAGAAGAGTTGGCGCGCCCTACATGTATTCCTGATTTTCACGTGTCACTAGCTTACTGATGTTGACGAACGTTCGTGCGGACCGCATCATCACGATGCTATCGCCATCCACCACAATTTTGTCCCCCTTCTGTCTCCATCTCGTGCCTCTTGTCTGCCCATTGATGAACGTTTGTGTGTCAGCGTGCTGGGCAAGATGGCGGCTTTGGTGAACATGCTGTGCTTCCTCAATGCCTCCCTTGGCGTTAACGTCGTCATGGCGCTTACCTACCTCTTCGTCAGGCCCTTCAGCGCCGCCACCGTACGCAGGCTGGTGAGATTGTTGGGCATACGTTCAGATCGAATCAGAAGCAGAAAGAACATTGCTCGAACGCCGTCCTTGTTGGCAGTTTGCGCGTGCGTGTCGAAGGAAGACGTTGGGCGTGTCTTGGGAATACAGGCGTTGGACCAACGAGCACGAACACTCAACCGTGGAGGGCGAGATCTTACCGCTCCTTTGGATCGTTAGTGTTCGCACGACGGACGCACTATGATATGCCGCAAGAACTAGAGCGAGCTGAGCTTTCCAGCCAGCAAGAGCCGTATCATCCTCCTTTTTCCGAACGCTCACGTGCGGTCCACACCCGAATCCAGAACTCGAATTTTGCGGAGGCGATGTGGGCGGACGCGGTGAGTGCCATCATGCCGCCGTCGAAGGTGGTGGTGACGGGGGAGATGCCGGACGATGACACCCAGGCTATCGTCATTGCCAACCATCAGGTAGTCCGGCACTACGTAACGTTGAGATAAGAACCTCTTGTTTTTCCAGGGGCTCGTGTCTTGTGAGGGTACCCAACGGTATAACTCTACAGATGTTTGTGTAGGTTTCTCACCCGAACAACCTGTTGTTGTTCCGGTTTTTTAAACTTCGATCCTCTTTAGAACCTGGAGGTTTGAGATCCCAGGTTCTTGAGACGTGGCGCACCCTGTGTTGAACGCGCTGTGTTGTCGCCGTTGTCAAGACACTGTCGATGCTGCCGTTGCTGTTGGTAAGTCATGACGAGCGACACCGAGTGGTGGCGTTGTTGTTGCACCCCCAGCGTTTCCTCACAATCTCGGCCTTTGCATCAAACGCCATGAAATAACATTCGCAACATTTTTCCGCCTCTCAAGTGTTCTCTCTCGTCCCCCCCCCCCTCCTCTCTCTCTTTCTTTCTCTCTGTCTCTCTCTGTCTCTCTCACTCTCTCTCACTCTCTGTCTCTCTCTGACTCTCCCTTTGGGTAAAAAGGTGGATTGTGACTGGTGGTTCCTCTTCGAGCTGATGCGACCACTCCGGCGGCACGGAGCCTTGAAAATCATCCTGAAGGACGACCAGAAGCACATCCCGGTGACGGGCTGGGGCATGCGCGGCTTTGGCTTCGTGTTCCTCAAGAGAGACTGGGTTAAGGACAGGTGGCTGACTTACGCGCACGGATGTACTGTCGGCCTACCTGCTGTTGTTCTACTCTATTGTTTTTCTTACGGCTGTTTTGTTGTTTTTGTTCTTGTTCAAGGGTCGGTGGTTGCGCAAAGATGGGTGGTGTTTGTTGGCCCAACGTTTGAAGTTTGAGAGACATACGCGCTCCTGCGGCCTCGGTTGCTCCTCTTCTTTGTGTTCGGTGTGCTGCTTTCGTTGTTGCGCAACGTGAGGGTTGTGTTGTTCTTGCTGGCGTGGCGTGTGCTGGTATTCGCCCTCTTTTCCCGACAGAGTCACGTTGGATAAAAGACCGGCATGCTGGCCGGAATTATGACTAGACATCAATGAACGTGTCTGACATGATGTGGGCCACGGATTGAAAGGGCAGATGCGACGATGGAGCATGCCCGCCGAAGCAGGCAACAAGCGGTTGGACTCCTGAAGTGTTACCCTTTAACCCCTCTTCCCCGGTGTTCGTCCGCGAAACACAGACGCCACCTTGAACACGACGGTAGCCAGCTAGCCTCCGCTCTTCCCACACCTTCTCGCATCCTCACACGCACCACGTGGTTACTCTTGTGCTGCTGCTGACGCTGTGTCGTGTTTTGGTTGCCCTTGTTGTTGTTGTTGTAAATTTTGTCGTTTGGTCGGTCGTAGGGCTAACCTGGAGAAACAGCTCGGCGTTTTCACCGGAGACGGTTTCCCGCTGCGGCTCCTCATATTCCCGGAGGGAACGACGATAAACGGCAGGTCGATGGAGAAGTGCACGGCGTTCGCCAAGAAGGTGATGAAAGGGCGTCGGTCGCCGCGCCTGCGTGGTGGTGGTGGCAGGTTAAGTCTAGTGTACGGGAAATCCGCAGTTTCAATGGTTTTTGGTACGGGTTGTTGTGAGCGGTGCGCGTGTGCCGTGTTGACCGGGGGATATATCGAGTGCAACGGTGTCATGATCCGAGCATTGCGACCGGGGTCGATGACGGTGCCAATCTTTCATTGGTGGGTTTGAAATGACCGACATGTTTTTTTCCCGTGCGTTTGTTTCTGGGGTTGGCATTTTCGCGAAGCTATTCCCCCGCAGGAATCTCTACTGCGTACCCCCCTCGTGCACGCTAGAACACCCGCCCTTACCACGTCCATGCACGCGGCGCCAGCCAGCAGCGCGTGCCATTCAAGCGGTCGGATCAGCCCGTTATCCCATTAAGAGCTTTCCATTGTTTTTCCACCCCTTGAGAGCAGTCCCACCATCATCATCCCTCGCTTCTCCACTTTGTCCCGCTCGCCTCCCCCACGCTCCGGCTTCTCGATGTCTGCTGCTGCTCTCTCTTTCGCAGGAACAACGCCCGAGGTTCGAGCACCTCTTGCTCCCGCGAACGACGGGATTCGGCGCCTGCCTGAATGCCTTCCGTCGGACGGAAAGCCCGGGCGGTCGGGGTGGGGGTGGGGGTGGGGGTGCGAGAAGAGGAGGAGATGGAGGGGGAGAGGGGGCGGCCAGAGGCGCCGGGGCCGCAGGGCATTCAAGCCGTGTGGTGTACGATATTACGGTGAGGGTTTCTCGGGGTGTTGGTGTTGGTGTTGGTGTTGTCGCTGCTGCACAGCAGTAGCTGCCGTTCTTTGTGTGAGGTGCCGCCTCGGCTGCTGTCTCTTGAGGCTTCTCCTGCTCCTGCCGCAGCTATTAATAGTGTCCAACACCGGCTGTACAAATTCTCGCTCCCCCTCGGACATATTGTTGTAGATTTGGGCTGTTCCTGCTTCGGTAGAATTCAATTCGTTGGGTGATGTAGCCCCCCCCCCGCCCCCCCGTTGGTCTTTTGTCATTGTGCTTATTGCACGTTGGACGGCCGATTTTACCACCAACGTTTCGGCGTAGATGCGGCTTTGGCTGTACATATGCGTTGTTGACGATGATTGCATTTTCCAATGACGATGCGTTTGAGGCGTCCCAAGATTCTTGAGGAGATTTCGGCATATGGCCAACCCGCCGGTACCATACCATATACCGTATTCCATATACCATATACCGTTGGATGGACGAGACGGAAGGTCCTCTCGGGTCACACGTGGTCCAGTCCAGTAAGATGCGGTCACACGGTCATCGTGATGGTGTAGCAGAGGTGCACCACCTCTTTGAGTTTGTCATTTCGCAAACAGCTGTAGTTGAAAGTTTGTCGTCGACTCAAAGTCATCTTCAGTCCACATGCGCATATCTCGACTTATTCCCCGAAAACCATGTTGGTTCGGAACCTTTCACCATCATTAACTAAGTGCGGTGCCACGTTAATATCTCGCCACGTATGCCCAGCTTCCCTGTGTGCACGACCCTTATGCCTTGGAACTGTGGGTAACTTCAGCTTTTGATGTTTTGTTTGTTTGCTCTTTCCGTTCGGGTTTGGTCGATGTGCATACATGAAGATAGCCCGGTGTTCTGTTCTCCAGACGCGTTTTTTGTGTGACCGATGGTTGTGCTTGTCTCTTGCTTCGTCTCGTTTTGTGCGACCCAGATGGGCTACACCGGCTACAGCGGGGAAATCCCCTCGTGGGAGATGGGCTACACGCGGGATAGGGACGTCGACGTCCCAAACCTTGGGGCTTTGCTCAAGGGCCGCGCTCCTGGACCCGTGAGTAATGGAAGCGGAGCACTGGCTGGTTGATGAGCCAGTTCTTGCGAAGATGGAACATACGATCGTTTCTTGATTTTTTTTTTTTTGTACTTTTGCCCATGTGCGTTGTTTCTTGTTGTTCCTTTCGCCGTTCCTGTTGGCGTCTGCAGTGCAATGCCTGTCTGTCTGACTTCGGTCTTTTTCTTCCTCATGACCTTTTTATTCGGTTCCGAAGTGGTTTGTTGGTTATTTCATGGTACGCAAATACGGTCTGTTCATGCTTTCATCCCCCCCCCCCCACCCCCCC